ACCCTAACCCTAACCCTAACCCTAACCCTAACCCTAACCCTAACCCTAACCCTAACCCTAACCCTAACCCTAACCCTAACCCTAACCCTAACCCTAACCCTAACCCTAACCCTAACCCTAACCTTTTTATAAACTACGGCGTCGCGAGCGTTTTAAAAACTTTATAAATTTACTTTAGCCGGCGGGGGGCCTATTATATTTAATTATAAATATTATAAAGTATAAGTCGTATTTTAAACGGCGGGCCGTTCTTTTTAAAAAGCGCGTATTTAAAGCTTAGTAAAAAGCTACTCCGTTAGCGGAGCGTAAGCCGTAAATCGGGCTTAGCCGGCCGCACCGCCTTTAGTACGCGAGCCGTGGGCCGGACTTAGCCGGCCGCACCGCCAGCGGGGCGCTAGCTTTAGGCCGGGTAGTTAAGCTTTGTTTTATACTAAGTAATTAAGCCGTTTCGCGGCGCACTAGGGCCGGGCGGTGTAATAAAAAGCGGGGTTATAAAAAGTTTAGTATTTTTTTTTTAAATAATAAAGAAAAAGGCCTAGAATAATTAATTTATTAAAAATATTACGGGCGTTAATTATAAATTTTATATAGTAATATAAAATTCCTATACCGGCTATATAGGGGATAATATTAAACATATATAACGCCCCCCGGTCTTAAAAGCTAGCTTTTTAAATTCGGGGGTTTTATTATACCCTTTATTAAAAAAATAAGTTTATAAAACGCCGTAAGTAGGCCTTTTTCGCTAAAGGCTTAGTTACGTAACCTTTTTATAAACGTATTTAAAAAATAAAACTATATTAAAAATAAAATAGCGTATTTTTAAGTCTTTTATTATATAAAATTAATTATCCTTAGTGGATAAATAATCGGTATAGAAGTACGTAAATACGCTTAAAACGATATTAAACTCGCCTTAGGTTATAAGCCGGGGATAATCGATATAAAATTATCTTTTTAACTTAGCGTAGTTTACTTTAATTTAAATATAATAAGCTTATTATAAAAGCTTTTTAATAAGGTCGTTTTTTATATATTATATTAATTATTTTACTATTCTATAAGGTTTATTATAAACGCGGGGGTTATTTAACTTTTTTAAACTTTTTTAAATCGATAATAAACGGGCTATATAAATAAGTAAATATTTAAAAAAGAGGTCCTTAAGAAATTAAAAAACTAAAACGTTATAAAAATTAAAAACCCCTTCTCCATATTATAAATAAAAAAAGCTTTATATCGTAAAGCCTATTTAATTAAGTAATATAAGTTTTACTAAGCTAAGCTTATTAAAATTTTATAATAAGTATATTAACTTTTTTTTTATTTTACCCCCCCCCCCCTCTTTTTTTTTATAAATATTATTAATTATAAATTAGCCTAACGAAAAGGCCCGACGGCTTATTTATATTCCGGTTTTATTTATATTTCTATTTCGGTTGATTAAAAAGGAATTAGTATAATAATTAAAGCTTACGACGGAACTAATAAAAGCTTAACGGGTTTTATAAAATAATTTTTTTTAATAATAAAACGCCGTTTTTATTTACTTATAAAAATAGTTATAATACATACTAACTATCGGTAGTTTTATATAAAATTATATAATATAAATATATAGGGGGTACGGGGTATATATAAACTTAGCATAGTTTTTAAACTATAGGCTTATAAAGTTTAAAAAGCGCGGCACCGGCTACCGGGCGCTAAAGGTTAGGACGGGCGCTTAAGGCCGTAACGGGGGTTTAAAATCTATATAACGTTTTATAAAAATAGGGCGGGGCGTAATAAGCGTTTTAATAAATATATCGTCGGCGGTATTTTAAAAGCTTTATACCTACGCTCTCTATAAACGTCTTATTATATTAACCTAAGGCGTAGCGGCGTTACGCCGGAGGCTTACGAAGTATAGCCTTAATAAAAGTATAAGCAGGGCGTTAATTAATTATTTAAAGCCGATAGCGTAAAAAGTCGATTTTAATTTTAAATTAAAGGATGAAATATTAATATAATAATAGAGCTAGTTACGGCGTTACGTAACGTCGAAGTATTATATTATACTAAGTCGGCCTAGGCTTATAAAATTAAAAGGGTATTTTATTATATAATAAAACGTATTAAAAAAGATTTCGTTCGTTTTATAACGAATAAATAAATATTTTAAAAATATATAAAAAAAAAAAAAATACTTAGCCGACGAGCGAAAAGTATCGGTATTAATATTTACCTTTTTTTTTTTAAATAAAAAGACCGGGGGAAATCGGTTAAAAAGTAAAATATACTAAGCTACGCCCGGCTTCGTACTTTATATTAAACTATTTAAATATTAACTAAGCCCCGAATTTAAATATTATAATTTAAAATAACCCCTTTTTTACGATAATTAACGTATATTTATATTTAGTTTAATAAATAAATATAATATAATAAGCTTCGAAATTTAAATCTTTATAATTAAATAGCTTTTTTTTTATCGTTTATTATAAATAAAAATATTTTTTTAAAATAAAATATAATTTATTTAATAATAATTATAACGTAGCTTTTAAAGTTATATTAATTTAATAAAAAATAAGCGTTATTATTTAATATTTTTCGCTAATTATAAATAGTTATAAAGGTTTATAAACCGAACTTAATTATTAATTAATATAATTTAAAACTATTAAAATATAAACGGATAGTATTAAATAGGCTAAAAAATAAGGAGTTCTAAATAGTTTATAATATATAACTTAAATTAGTATTATTAAAAATATTTTTAATTATAATAACGTTAGTATATTTTAAATTTTAAAATAAGCCTTAGCTAATTATTTATATTTAGGCCTGTTTAATATTAATCTTATTAAAAAGATTAATACTAGCTAAGGTTTATAATTAAAAGTTATTATTCTCGGCCTTTAAAAAAATACGTTATTAATAACCGTTATTTAAAATTATTAATAAGGATAATAAATTTTAAAATCGCTATTATAAATTATAATAAAGATTATTATTAAAAAATTATAAATAAAAAACTACGATTAAAGACCGCTATTAAAAATTATAATTATAAACGGCCGGCTATTAAAAACTATTATAAAAACCGGCTATTAAAAACTATTATAAAAAACCGTTATTAAAAATTATTATAAAAAACCGCTATTAAAAACTATTATTTAAAATAGTTATTAAAAATTATTATAAAAGACGGTTATTAAAAATTATTATAAAAAACCGCTACTAAAGACTATTATAAAAAACGGTTATTAAAAATTATTAAAAAAAACGGTTATTAAAAACTACGATAAAAAACGGCTATTAAAAATTATTATTTAAGACCGCTATTAAAAACTATTATAAAAAACGGTTATTAAAAATAATTATTTAAAACGGCTATTAAAAATTATTATTTAAGACCGCTATTAAAAACTATTATAAAAAACGGTTATTAAAAATAATTATTTAAAACGGCTATTAAAAATTATTATAAAAAACCGCTATTAAAATTATAATAAAAAACCGCTATTAAAAACTATTATTTAAAACCGTTATTAAAAATTATAATAAAAAACCGCTATTAAAAACTATTATAAAAAACCGCTATTAAAAATTATTATAAAAAACGGCTATTAAAAATTATTATTTAAAACGGCTATTAAAAATTATTATAAAAAACCGCTATTAAAGACTATTATAAAAAACTACTACTAAAAATTACTATAAAAAACGGCTATTAAAAATAATTATTTAAAACCGCTATTAAAGACCGCTATAAAAAATCGCTATTAAAAACTATTATTTAAAACGATTATTAAAAACTATAATAAAAAACGGCTATTAAAAACTATTATAAAAAACCGCTACTAGAGATTATTATAAAAAACCGCTATTAAAAACTATTATAAAAAACTACTACTAAAAATTACTATAAAAAACCGCTATTAAAAACTATTATAAAAAACCGCTATAAAAGACTATTATAAAAAACCGTTATTAAAAACTATTATAAAAAACCGTTATTAAAAATTATTATTATAAATAGCTATTAAAAATTATTATTTAAAATGGCTATTAAGGCGGGCGCCGCGGGCAACGCTAGCCGGGGGCGACGGGGGGAATAAGGGTAAAGGATACGGCGAGCTTATTTATATATACGAGGTCGCTTTAATACGTAACTAAATTACTAAGTAACTATAAGGAAATATCATCATAGGTATTAATAATTAAAAAATAAACTTTCGTTATAAAAGCCTGACGTATATAAAGCTTTCAATTATAAATCTAGTTCGGGTTTTTTTTAATTATTTTAGTTAATTAAAAGATTTTATTTTATTATCGTTTTTAAATATTCGATTTTATTAAATTTTATAAACCCTAAAGCTTCTCGCCGTAATTAATAAGTTTAATAATAAAAAAATTTAATATTAAATTAACTTACTTTTCTTTACTACAGTTCGATCGAACAAATTATCCTGTGATTACGTAAACTAATATTTATTATTTATATCTAATTCCCTTTTACCAAGGCTAGCCTTGAATAAACTGTTGAATTAAGTCACACACTGTTGTAGCTTCTTATAAACTATAAACTTAATTCTAACGGGCTCTGTGGCAGAACCTCCCTGTATCCACAGTCATATTGCAAATTGCCGCCTCCCATAGCAATCCAATTAAGCCGCCTAGCAGAGTGCCCATTGTGTCACCCGCGCTGACGATACCAAGATTTAATAGGCAGTCCGACTGATCAGCCACCGACTTAAGCACGCCGTCAAAGACCTCAATGTATACCGCACCCCCCAATAAGCCAGAACCAAGAGCCACGCCGAGCACAAGCCAACTAGAGCCAAGGAAGAAGATAGAGTCTGCCAGCAATAGAGCCACCATCCAGGCCGAGAGAATCAAAACTACTCTGTGATTACCAAGTCGGATTAAAATTGCTGATAATCGTGCTGTGAAATTGCCAGTATACAACGTAAAGGCAAGTGCCGAGGTCCACGACAGAAGCGAGAAAAACGAAGAGCCATCGAGGGCAAGGGCGAAGCCGGGAAAGACCATGGCCTGCGCAGATGAGGCAAGAAGAAGTGTAGGTAGGTACTGCACCGTCGCAGTAGCCAACATTCCTGGGTTTCGAGCTGAGTTCCTTGAAACTTTGTCTGGTATCGTGGTGGTAACCTTCATCATTGATATGTCGTAGTAGCTCGCTGAGTCTCGTTTGTCCAGGTCAAGCTCTCCATGGCCAGTTGCAAGATAACTTCTTGGCAAGATGACGAAGTAAGCGAAAAGGATCGCAAAGACAAGTGGGTACATGTATCCAGTTCCATCCCTAAGTGTCATTCCCATGGACGACGTCAATACTAATGGCCATGTAGCATTTGCCATTTGACCAAGGCTGGTGCCGGAAGCCCATGCAACGAGACCGAGGCGACCGTAGCGTCGGACTAAGTCCAAACAACAGAGCTCGGTAGCAGCCGAGGAGGAGGCAGCCAACAGCGTCATCAAAACGCGCACAGGAGGTAGTACGTTCGGGGGCGTAGCAGAGACAACGACCTTGATTAATACCCATAATCCAGCCAAGAGGACAAGGCGGACATTTTGCGGGATGTAGCCGAAGAAGAATGGTAGAAATAGTTTGGCTAAAACAGATGGAAGAAGCTCCAGCAGAAGGACGACGGCCTTTGGGTATGGGATGATGAGGTAGTTTGCGGCGTGGCTGATACGTGCGAGGATGATGTTTGCAAGACCTGTAAAGACTTTGTCAGTATCCTGAGGCTTAGTTGCCAAGAGTCAGTGGGAGAAAGAGAACAAACCTATCAATGCAAACCCTAAGAATGTTCGCATACGATACTTGGTGACAATTGAGCCATCCAGCTGGCTTAGAGACATTTTCTTGTACATCTCAGTCGAGAATCAAAGTTGTGCCAAACTTGAAAGTGAAAAAATTAAAAGGATACGCAACGAAGTTGAGGACAATGAGGTGGAAGATGATGGGAAATGATGAGGGGTGCAAAAACAGCCATCATTGACAGGCCTGAAAAAGCCATGGTACAGCCAAGCGCAGCGTGGTGGGTTGGTTGGAGATTTCTCGCCCAGAACACCCAGCCGAGCTCCAATACAAGCGAAATAACAATCAATACCCACTATTCCCACCTGAATCCTGCAGGCGTTGTTCGAATATAACTAGACACCCGGGTGGCAGAACACCAAAAACACTTTTAGTAAGAGGCGTGGCAAAAGCGGGCCTTTCTGCCTCTTATCCGAATATCAGAGACGAATACGAGATGGGCGAATTGCATCTTATCTTGCTGACCCTTCACATATGTGGCAGGAAGCTAAGAATCGGCTCCGTAGGTTGGGTGAGAGCGGTTGAACCATGGGACCCCTGTTGCTCCAATCAGGGGATGTTGTGAAAATACAGTGGGGAGCGTACTTAATTCCATCTGCGAAGAGACACTGGAAAAACTATTTCTCTTCAAGTACAATAATTCCAAATGATAATTCCTCGGGAGCCCTAATGAAGTTCTTTCTCATCCGCAAGATAATGGCGGCGGTTCAGTCATTGTTTGCAGTAACTAGCTTTAAGCCGCCGAGTGCTTTGCTCTCCTCCATAAGCGCAGCAAGAACCGGTGTACTTCTTGTTGTACTCACAATCCTCACACTTTTTTTGATTCTCGTATGTTCTCCCCTTCTGATTCACATCCTGCTGCTGGGGTACAACATTCACCCGGCCTTGTTCTCATTCTTTTGACAACTATGTACTAATGCTGTTTGCGGTTAGTTTAAGGGAACGTTAGAGTACAGTTCGCCTAAAGAGCACAACATTTGGGCAGGGATGCATCAAAGACTGGCAGAGTCCAATTTCTCATCCCTAGGAAATGATTCTTCTACTGGTCATCGTTATCTACGGTTGTTTATGCCAGCTGATGGCCCAAGCATAAACCTTTGCAAAGTCGTACATTCTGCAGTTGCTCTTGGGTATCCGATGCCTACGCTGCTAAACTGGAACGGAGAGTTCAACCGGCCCGATTGGCACTTCGCAGGCTCCCACATTGCAAAGCTGGAATCCCTTCTCGTTGCTCTTGATACGATGTACGAGGAAGACCACGCCGCTGATAACGATATTGCGCTTTTGGTTGACGCCTACGACATATGGTTTCAGCTCCCTCCCTCAGCTCTTCTTGACAGATTCCACAAATCAAACCTCGAGGCGGACACAAGAGTCCAAGAGTTATGGATGGATTCTGGTTATAACCCTGAGTTTCCCATCGCCCCGCCAAAACAAAACATTATTATCACCACAGCAAAGGATTGCCAGCCCGGGACAGAATCCGGTTCGCATCCTAACTACCTCCACTGGCCTGACTCGCCACTGCCTTCTGACTTCTACGGGAAAGATACAGACAAAATCGACTTGTCCGCAGACTCCGCAAGAAAATACCGAAGAGTTCGACCGAGGTGTGTGAACAGCGGAATGATTATGGGTAAAGTCGGGCTTCTGAGGGCTGCACTTCGAAGGTGCAGAGAGAAGGTCGAGGCCGTCTCAATGAAGGGGCGCCAGCTATGGAGCGACCAGGCCCTGATTGCGGAGGTTATTGGAGAACAAGAGATGTGGCGCGAATGGGTCCGTTCTGTCTTGCCCCCTGTGAATCAGCACCGTCCGCAGGACTTGTCTAGGGAGGTCCGGAAGGTTGCGGAAGCAGCTCTCGACGGGCAGCGCTTCGAGTTCGGGATCGGCCTAGATTACACATTCAGTACAATGCCTCCAACTTGCTCGGCGGAAGAAGATGGATCATTTGTCAGATGGGTCGACAGAAAAGCTGTGCAGAAGGCGTCAGAAGAGGCGGGAGTACCAGGCAGTGTCAGAGTGCCTGATGTACCGACAGATCTCGGAGGCTCAGACAGCCCTTTACCGGGAGCTGGACTTTCATGGGCTGACGTCCCTCTTTACACTGACTTCTTCTTCGGGAATGCTCCAGTCGCAATCCACCACAATGCTTACATTTCGGGGCTGAAAGCGTGGAGGTTGCAGAATTGGTGGAATATGACGTGGTTTTACCCACATCTTCGAGACTTGGTCACGAGTCAGCTTCAACAGGAGGAGAGTCCAAGACCACTGGCGAGGATTGCCGTTGGGGCGACGGGACAAAAGGAGACTGTCTACTGGGCACCACCGGAGGACAAAGGTATGAGAACGATCAAAAGCTTCAGGTGGTCAAATGATGGCGCGGAAACAACAATTATGGATTGGAATGGAATCTGCCTGAATAGCCAAGTGAACTGGCATGAGTTGATCTTCGGTGACGAAAAAGGCGCTGTGTCAACCGAAGAATCATTCCCGGCCCAATAACTTGGTAGATGATAGGTACTGGAATGTTTTGAGTATCCGTAGTGTATGTAACAAAAGTCCTAGCTCCACTTCAGAAGCCCCATCTCAGATTCACTTGCCAAGCGTTCCAGGCAGCACTTCATTCAAAATTCAAAGCAGATCATTCAATTTTGGCCCTGCCATTGGTTGGTTGGCTGGCGACATTGTAAAAGTTGACGGATTCGGATTTGGTTGACTGATTGGTTGTTGAATGAGTCAGAGTAAAGGTTCGGCCAATCGTTGAGTCTAATTCAAGGAGTGGGTATTTCAAGTAGTGGAGAGCAGAGCTGCAGACTGACCATTCTTTGTCATGGATTACATGCGAACGAGTGGCATTTCACCCTTCAATGGAGACTTTTGAATCGAGCCAATATCCTGTTGGTTGGCTTGGTTCGTGTTGGTGCTTCGCAAAATAAGCGCTTAATCCCGCCTAGCCTCGGAAATCTTAAACCTCCCTAATAACCTCAAAGGATGCGGGATAATCCGTTAGACGGGGGAAGTGGAACGGGGCACCCGGATCATCCACTATACCCGCAGGGTAAGTCAACAATCCAGTCGGAAGTCACACCGAAAAAGGCTAGATTGTGTTGGCGGAGTCTATACACCGACTAACAATGCGCACCCGTTCAGCCCCGTATGACTGCACCCTGACTCGCACCTCAACCCACCTTAACTATTAACCTTACCTTTATTAAGCTAAAAACCCCACTGTAACTTGAGCTAAGTACATATCGTACAAGGGACTTCTGGGCAAACAGGGGATACGCATACTCAGGTGGTCGCATCACTCGTGTTGGCGCTAAGAGTTTATTTCCATTCACACTACGGATAAAACCCGTTTTTAGCGCACCCTCTAAATACACGACCGTCTCAAGGCCAGAAAAGGGATTCTTTGCTCTGGTTGGCTGGTAGGTCAGAAACAGGCCCAAGGTCTTGTTCTGACGAGTGGGATTCTCCAAAAGTGACTTTATGACAGTTCCAACCATTACGGTAAAAGAGCCTTGCACAAAGCAGGAGGCGATGGAAGGGAGAGAGACCTAGTGGATTGACTTACTTCATTTGAATGGGTATGATTGTTTGGCTTGATAGCTAAGTGTTGTGGAATTTAATAAGTCACCCGGCTGGATACTCTGAACAGAAAAAGTTCCGGTTGTTGAAGAGAAAGCCAATAAGTAACTAAATTTTTATTATTTCTCAGTGTCAAAAAGCTGAATTGACAATGTATGACCCGCGGTTGATGTTTTTTTCCAGGCTAGATTGCATATACCTGCGTCCTTTGGCCTCACTGTTCTTCTTGTCGGCCAAGGACGAAAACAGGCCGCACTTACGACTCCGCCAACCACAGATGTTTTGGCAAGCAAGCCTGCTTTAATGACCTTACTGTTTTCGCACTGATTAGAGGCTACCCTAGCAAGATTCTGGGTCATTGTCTGTGCCTCTTAATCACAGCTTCAATAGCGATAAAAATGCTCTTCTTGATACCCCTGTCTATGTGCGTATGTATGTGTATGTTTTATTCCTTTCTTTAATTACTTTTCCTCTTCATAAAGGATACTGACCTCGAATAGCTTTGACTGAGCGACCTGACCGTGTAAGGTTTGTTCTTTGACCTTTTAGAGCTTATAGCTGACTTTACGAGAGGGAACTTCAGAAATTTTATTCAAAAAAAGTAATGATCCTCAGGTTCGGAACATCTTGAATGATCCGAAGAACCTCTTGAGCCAGGTCTTTATGGCACAGTAGAGCTTCAGGGTATGATTAGATTCCGATGCCTGTCACAGCTCACATATTTACGATCACATCTATCTGGATTCTACGGAGCTCACTGCAGCTCCCATGTAGGTCCCATGTAAGTCAAGATAGGGTAGTGTTAGCAGTCCCCAATCGAGTAACCTCCTATCCTTGAGGATCTAAACATCTGCAAAGAACCCGGACCACCACCAACGAATTTACTCATAGAGGCCTGCAAGTGAGTTCATACCAGCCCCGATGTGGTTCCATAGCCCCTGCAGCTCTCGACATTGAGCTTCGGTGGCTGTTGGACCTTTGATGTTCAAAAAAGCAGATTCGGCGAGGCAAAACATATAAATAGAGGAACAATTCCCTCGCTGTTATTATTCACACATCAGTTTCCTCACAATCACATTCTCGAAACAACACCCTCCTGACTCTTGATCTAATTTACCAAGCAACATTTTCACAATGCATTTTTCCCTCACCACTGTCCTTGCCTTCGTGGCGTCCGCTTCTGCTTGTTACAGCGGAGGGCAGGCCTGGGGTGACTCCACAGCACGGGCTATTGACGGTGCTACTAGTGCCTGCAATTCCTGGAATAATGTTGAGTTCTCAGGCGGCGAGAACAAATATTACTGCTATAATCTCGGCGGAAACGTGAGGGTGGACTTTCGCATGAGGAACGGAGATACTGGCGGCCCCCGCCGTAGACTCGACTTCAATACCTGCCTCGCACGCCTTCGGAGTCAAATCGAAAACTGCAACTTCGGCGGTGAAGACAATCAAGGTGCCTGGAGACCTCGGTAGGGAATCTACTCTCATATGTTTTCTCTGAGAAAGACTCGAGCTAATTTACCTAGCGCCGACCCCAACGCCGGAAATTGCTAAACACGCCGGTAATCCGAAGAGATACTTTCTGTGCTGGAAGAAGTGAGGCTCTTGTACTTTCTTCAATATGTCACATATTGTTCGCTTAGTGTCTTATACAGAAGACAAAATGTCACTTAGCAATCGCGCGGCTTGCTTGTAACAGGTTGAGAAAGTTGACTCAGTGTCGTTGGAGGAAACATGTCAAGCGTTTAAACTCACAACCATTATCGAGCACTTTTATCAATAAGAATAAGTACGTAATGACAGTATTGTAGACTAAACTGTATGGTCTCTCAAGTAGTTTGCTAGTTATCTCACTGCTCTGGACATGCACACTATCCGGCCTTTCTTAGGGCTATCGATTTATGGATTGAATTAGGGAGCGCCTTATATGAAAGCTGGTTCCAGAGACATTTCTGTTCCCGGTATCAAAATAATGTCACATTCCAGCCATTCAGAACAATTCCGAGCTGATGTTTTCGACGAGCTTAGTAAGCTTGGCTGCTTGTTTATGATCGAGGTTAAAAACCGCTCAATATTTCGACCAGGCAAGCGAAGGTCCCTGTAATCAGGTGTATCGTTATCGGTTCTGCCACAAGATTAGTAAATTTAATTTTATGATATGGATACACCATGGGCCGGGGTAAAGTGGTATCCACTGCTTATGTACATACCTTACATCATTCCCCCAACCTCAAAAGAGACCCAACGATACACGCGAGCAAATAGGAACGAAGCCGTGCAGTCTTGGCCTTAGACGTAGGGATGTCTGGATATGGCGGATGTTGTCCGAAAGGCCAAGTTCGGCCGACCCCGGCTGCACAGGTACGGCGGAGGGTTAGTTTAGTTACCCGACGGTCCTCCTCCTTCTCGTGCAAGGCCAGGCAGCAAGCTATTGAGAACGAGGACAAATGTCAAGATTCTCCCAAATTACCGCCAAGCTCATAAGATTTGTACCCATTACCCCGTCTTGGTCTTTACTGAGCCTTTCGTGTGCCCGCTACCAAACATGAATGATGGACCGAGACGCCTCTATTGGGCTAACAATATTCATTCGGGTCACTCGTCAACAACGTCAACAACCACCGCCTCGATGCTGAGTGACAGCCATGAAAGCAATTCTCAAGACCTCTGTAGCTTTTTCAAAGTTGGTCATAAGCTCTGGATAAAGCTCTGGATAATTCCAATGGGGTTATTCAACAGCATTTGGTGTTGGATCACTGAATTGGTCACAGTGACTGATATTCTGTGCTCCGTGCTCAGCTTAGTCGTTGCGACATTCCTCATAATGTATGCTTTACTTCCTAATTGTCCCCGAGATGGTCTTGTCCTTACTTCTGGCAGAATTCTGCTCTATTTCCTGGTTTTTATGTACAAGCCTATCTCCGTCAGGGCGACCTTGCCGCACGATTTTATATCCAATAACGAAATCACGACTAATGGCAAACCAATCGATGGCATCTCCCGCTGGCTGGAAGATTTTACCCGCTCAGTCTTACCTCGAAATTGCCACTCCCATAACGATTACTGGCGACCATATCCGTTATTTTCGGCACTTGCGGCAGGTTGTGCGAGTGTGGAGGCTGATATCTGGCTCAGTGACGACGGTCTTGATCTACTAGTTGGACACGACCGTGGCTCTCTTTCGAGCGAGCGTACTCTCCAGACGATGTACCTGGATCCGCTACTGACGATCCTTGAGCACCAAAACCGACAAGGATCCATCACACCATTCGAACAGGCACGCGGCGTCTTTAATACCCGGCCAGATGCGGCCCTTGTTCTCCTGATTGACGTCAAAACAAACCCCACCGATACATGGCCACTTTTGGTAAAGCAACTTGAACCGCTTCGGAAAAGACAGTTCCTCACACGTTTTGAACACATCGAAACGTCGCCAGGAGTTATTACCAAGCAGGGCATCTGGCCAGGCCCCATTACAGTCGTTGGCACGGGCCTTCTGGACCGAGCGACCCTTTTCGACCACAAACGTCGGAGCTACGCCGATTACGAAACTTATCATGACACATTCATAGATGCGCCGCTGAGCACTTTGGCACAAGATAATAGTATCTGGTGGTCTCCTGGATCAAAATCAGCGCCCTTTGGCCAGATAGCGAGCAACTTGAGCCAATTATGGTCGGCAAATGATTCATACTATGCCTCGGCTTCTTTCAAAACGACAATTGGATCGGTTCGAACCGGCTTCACCAAAGCACAAAGGAAGAAACTGAGAGCTCAAGTTGAAGTGGCAAAGCAGAGTGGGCTCAAGTCCAGGTACTGGGACATACCTGACTGGCCCATCGGGTACCGGGACTACATCTGGAAGGTATTGACCGAGGAGCACGTTGACATGCTCAACGTGGATGACTTGGAAAGTGCTGCTCGTCGGGGTTGGACACAGGGTTATCTCAGGGATGTGCTTTGGATGTCGCTAGTGTCGACGTACTTGTTTAGCTGCAGTATTATGGTTCTCTTTTTGATTAGCCGACGGTCAAAGAAAGAGTATACACAGCAACAGGACGTCTTTGACAGCAATTCAAGGACTGCGAGAGTGTAGCATAAAGATAATGTCGATTTAAAATAGCCTAGTGTTCCGACGCTCGCTGCTATAGTTTAAAATGGCAGGATAAAGCTAGCAAGGGCTCATCGACCTGCTAGATTTATCTAATTACATGCTAGAATGAATGACACCTGTGATTCATTGATTGAGTCCTGGCTGAGTTTGAATAGATTTAAAACTATTATGGCTCTCATCACACTGTCCAGTTTAATGACTTCTGTGAAGAGAAAAGGCCAATGCCCTTCCCAATGTCCTTCGGCTTTCATTGTCACTCAACACATATCGTCCAGCTTCTGAAATTTTTTGTATTTCAGCCAATGAAGGACTATAATAGCAAAGCTATCGAGACTGTCGTCAGAGATGGGATCATAGACATCACAAAGCCAGAGCTCTTAGGCTTCATCCAGGACGTTAGGAAGAAGAAATTTAAAGCCAGCACAATCATATCGACATTCTGAGAGACTGGTACATGCCCATATAACTCACAGGTTTTCCTGACTCCTAAAACATATTTCTCAGCGTCAAGGCATACAGCCACCTCCACATGCTCCAGAGCATCCGTTGATATCAGATGACATAGACTCAAGCCCATTTGGGACTCCGCAAACATATGAGAAGCTCAACACTGTGGCTAGCCGCCTTCTTGACTCAGCTGAGACGCTGGCGAGCCAAACTGATAGGCAGGACCATTGAGATGCATATGGAGCAGCAGAAATAACTTCAGCATCGTATTTAGAGTGGCACCTTAATCCAAGGTGGTGAGCTTATCTAAACAAGAGAATTCCTCAGCCGTACTAGGCTCGCTGCTTATACCCGCAAAGCATGCCGTTACTCTGAAAATGGACCTTTGCAAGCAGGAGGTTTGTTGATTAAAAAGGGGGCGCGTCACATACTTTATATAGGATAAAGAGACATCGGTGAGATTGGGCTTCGCCTGCATAAAGCCCGCGTCGAGGTATTCTCTGAGGCTGAAAAACAGCCAGGTGATGGTGTACAAGTGAAAGGCTGAGTCTAGCCTAGGTAACTGAAAGCAATGAGGGTGAGCGCTGGTTGCGGTGATTCTAGTTGCGAATGGGTGGTTTTTTTCGCTAGCACCGTGAGCACCCACAACGTGTCCACTCAAGGTGTGTGATGCTTAAGACCGAAATAAGTGAGCGGCGTGGCACGGGTAGGCTGTCAATGTAAAGTTTCATTCATAAATCGATCATACTACTCTTTGGTAGCGAATATCACCTAACGCTTGACTACTCAGGACTTCTCAGTCACAATTAGGCGTTCGGCTATCTAAGCTTTTTGTCCGGCGACAGCTTAGCAGCTACCAATTTTAGTCTATTGCCTACCAAGCGAATGATCGTTTCTTACAATAAGGAATCAAGCATTGCTTGAGTACATGACTCGGATATGCAATCTCGAGGTCTGACACTTTCCCATTTACTGGTTTCACGCACTGGGTGTCCTCTATACATTTAGTTCTCGTGACTTAGTTAGTCCTTCTGACTGGTGGGGTCAAAACTCGAAGTATCAAAAATACGGAGCCGCTGGAGGAGTATCTAGAAGAAATCACTAGATATAAACTCGGTAACTAGACAGACTTTGTGCTTATTCATCTGCTTAGTTGACAAGCATCTTGATAGTTCTGGTTTCCTATGCATTCTATTACAGATCCTACTTACCACAAAGATGTGAATCTCATCAGCAGAAGTCTATCGCCACGCATACGTTGTTGGCGAATGACGCCAAAGGGTTACGGGCAGGTCAGGCAAGCAAACTGTACCACAAAGCAAAAGCTTCGATAATTATGCACCTGCATTATTATCTATTATTATCCCCTGCTCTGCATTACATAGTTACGCCGGCCAGCACCCTAACTAGATGGGCCGTAACAATCGGCCTAGAAAAGGACTTGAAAACCCGCTTTAGGCATCTTTCCATAGGAGATTATGTCCTTTCATTGAAACTAAGTTTTATTCTCATGTTTTAAAAGGGTATCCTCTACTTGATAGACCACCTCGTAGACTTATGACTCTTTAGTAAAGAACCTAATATTCAACATTGTAAGAGATAGCAATGCGGGTTTCTTCGTTCTAAAGATAGCTGCTCCTACAGAAGTTGAAATGTGTTAGATATCTATATTTAATGCGCTTTAGGACCGTATTCTCGAGTGGCTACTTATCGTATCGCTTAAATAAGATTCGCGGTTGATTTCATCATCAGTTAAAGTAAGGGAGACCGGTAAATAAAGAGGTTGTTGGACGGACTGGGGGGGATGTGTACACAGATCCCGGTGACAAGTTGGTGATCAAAGAAGTGATTCTATTCTGTGATGATCTTCCTAAGTTCGTACAATAGGGAAAGCGTTTCGGAATGTGTCCTCGTACGCGACCAGAGCTGGTTACGTGTCGGAACATCCACGTGACTAAACAGAGGTTCAGTCACTCTCAATATACCATACGTTTAGTCCCAGTTGTTGTTATTCCAACAGAGGTAATAATAGAGATCCCGGCTTAGTAAGTGATCGAATTCCTGTTGACCGATGGATTTTCCGCAGATGCAGGTTCATTACTAGTATAATTAGCAAAACAACTTAAAAAAAATATTTAAGATATCTAATTATAATAAATATAGTCCTAAATACCCGTTCCCCTCTCATTATAGTGTGGATATAAGATTATTAACTTTAATTTAAAGCTTTAAAATTCTTAGATAAAAGTAGTAAGCTTATTAATAAGAGATATTTTAAGCTAGTCTTATACGCCCGGAATCTAGTTTTAAATTTCTTTTTTAAGATAGTGACTTCTCAAGTTACACGGTTATAAATTTTAAAATTAATATAGTCTCCCTAGCAGAGAATATCTTTATTAAATAAAGTAAAGCTATAGTTTAAATAGGTATTTATATAAAATTAAGAATATTAACTATAAACCTAATTTAACTAGGAATTGGATTAAACAAATAAATATTATAAAACATATTTTATTATACTTTTTTAATAAAAGAAAATTATAGTAATTTTAATATAGTCTCTTTAGTAAAAGACACCTTTAATAAAAATTGTAAGACTATAAGCTAACTAAGTAAATATAAAAATTAAACGCATTAATTATCAAATATAATATAATTAGAAAATAATACAATAAAGTGATATAGAAAAATGAAATAAAAATAAATTCAGTTTTATGATATATATATTCTTATTATTTATTTTTTAATAAAAAAATACGGCGAGGTTATTTAAATAAATAAGATTATATAAAATATATAACTAAATTATCAAATAGCTATAAAGAAATATTATAAGTTTATTTAAATATATAAAGTTATATTTAACTTATAATTATATTAATCTTTTTAACAAAAAGTCTTTTTATTAAAAAGCATAAAATTATAAATTAACTGAGTAAATATATAAGTTAAAAATATTTCTGAAACATCGCTTAATTATAAAAAGAAATAGAAGTATTTTAAAAAATAAAAAAAAAAAACCACGAATTATAGAACTTTTATTAAAAATAAATAATAAAAGGAATTTAAAAGAATAAATCTATTTTCTTCAAGTAAAGAACTTAAATTATTTACTTAATAATATTAATATTAATAAATAATAATACCGCTTTATAAGTCGTTGATTCTTTATATTAATTATATTTTTTTACTTATTTAAACTTTAATAAATCTACTCTTTAGATTAAGTTATGTATCTCTTACAATCATTACAGCTTTTAATATAAATAGTGTTATAAAAAAGGCCTAGCTAGGCCTTGAGAGTTTACGACCAACTTGAAGACTGCAGGTGTGACAGTATATAAACGACGCGTTGCCTGGACTGATTTCTGAAGCCGGCCTAATTGAAGCTCGGTATCTGATAGGCGCCAGATCACCCAGAGGGTGTAGAGCCTAAGCCTCTTACTAACAACACACACACGTATAGTGAGAATAACGCGGGGTATTCCCACCAGTACGTCATTGGGAAAGAATTCAAACTTGATGCCACATGACCTTATTCGCCAGCAACAAGTACACTGCATGCAAATCGTGTAAGATCGTTAGGCTCAGGATTGCCCAAGACAGTCGATTAACGAATGATTTTTCAAGGCAACCAATCATTGGAACGTTCGGTGTGGAAAAGCTTGGACAGCCTGCTGCGCTTCAACGTGGCACCCACAATAGCAGACCCGGTGGGTGCTCTCGCTCAACCCTGGCGTGCAAAGTATGAAGCAACACGACTAGGATTGGCCTGGGCGCCATGGAGGGGACGGGACAACTTGCATTCGCGAGTTTCATTCAGCGAAGTACAGCTGGAAAGTGAAATTATTAAAAGCCTCTACTAGAATCTTTTTTTGAACTCTGAATTCCTGTCAGACAGGCTTTCATCAATCATGGACACGAACGGGTGGACGCCAGCCTCGCCGCAAGATGATTCTAGCAATCAGGTTCGAGAAGCCTCCTTTGATAATACACGGGATGTTGGTCCTGAGGTGTCGTAGGTGTGCTCGTGATACCTTAAGATCTGGTATATTCGACTAACAATTTTCTCAAGGCCGTACGCAAGTCCAACATGCAATGTCTACTTCCAGAGCGGGCAGCCATTCAGGGTACCAAGCAACCTCCTATGTCAAGAGCTCGAAAATATTCGACACCGAAGCCATGGTGAAATACGATTGAAGCATATACCAGACGAGGCAGGCCATGTGCTCATTCACTTCCTTCATACGGGATCATGGCAAACACTGCGGGTCAAGGAGTCCCTCGACGCAACAAAGGATACGTCTCACCTCAACATCAGTTTGCATGTCTATGCCGCTTCGCAAGCATATAAGCTACCTTTGCTAGCAGAGCTTGGAAAAGAGAATATTTCTCTTTCTGCTGAAGCACTTCCCGCCCTTGAGGTTCTTTTGCTTGCTTCAGATGCTTGCAACTCTCTGGGAGAGGATGACCCATGGTTTTCGGCATTCATCAAGCGTCGCACTCGACAACTATTCGAAGACTCATCCTCTATAAACCAATCCGGTCTGTTGGGGTGTTTTGACAACGCCACGATATTCTCAAAGCTGCTGGTCAAAAGTTTGATCGAGATCTGTTGCGACTACTCGGTTTCTGTCAACCCGAGCGAATCTCAATCTTCGCCTCGGCTTGGACCATCCACTACATCAAAGCCTGTACCTGCTCCTTGGACGGACGCGGCTGAGCCGGAGGTGGACCTGACTGGGGAACTTGCTTTGGAATCGGCGTTGGGCAACAGCCTGGCATCGACCTCAAAAAAAGACAAGAAGAAGAAGAAGAAGGGTAGGAAGCTCGATGAAACCACTACTGAGTCAGAAATATTGGCTTTGAGAGATGCTGCCGAGCCTGTAACGAATGGTCGGTATTGAATATCTACATTGAGTCCTTACTGCGTAACAATCAAATTGAGCCATAGCGTTTTCAGCCTTTGATATTTCGTGCAAAAAGGAGAGAGTAATATAAGAACAAGAACCGTTCAGGCATTTATGAATTAATACGAGGGTTTAGTACTTGGTATCAAATCCCATTATGATCCTTGATGGAAGTGGAAGCTATGTTAAGTAGCCGTTGAACTTTGCTACCTGGGGAATTTTGTACAAATTTTTCAGCCAGGCCGAACAGTGACAATCAACTTGAGTTGAGGAAGACTTTCAGCTTGCGATTTAACTTGATAGATGCATTGAACAATGTCAAGGTGGTGTTTTCCTTACTACGGTAATGACAGGCGTTGCTACAGATCATCGTACAGCTCCTTACGTGTAGCCTGTCGAAACGAAGCCTTCATCCACAACTTCCTCAAATACCTCAGTCATGTAGAATAAAAAGACTAGGAGCCATCACCTACTCTTGATCTTCTGGGTGAAAAACCAGAGCTCGAACCTCTATGCTTTCTCTGGGGGGGGCATCCGGGCGCGCCGTGGGATCAACAAAGGCTGTGTGGGGCACCCTTCGAGCTCTACCATCCGTCTTGCTGTCAAAGCACTTGATGAGAATCACCTCATTGGGTGTCAGACCATCTTTGTAATACCATTTGTGCGCCGAACTGTATCTGACCGCATACGTCTCTCCCCGTCGATTAGGGTAAATCAAATCGGTCACAACAAGATCCGATTCGGCAACCGACCCGGCTTCCGCAATGGCGAGTGGGTCTCGTTGAACAGTTTTAATGGGCCTCCAGACGTTGATGATCTGCACTCGGCCCTTGAGCAGCTCATCGGCATCCTCCGGGAGGTGGTGAGGAACCCGTGAAAGAGCGGCCTTGTAAGATTGGTCAATGTGGACCCTTTGCACTGGTCCGCGAGCCGCTCGTCCTTGGGTTGCTTCGCTGGGCAGCTGACGACGAATAGTGTGGTCGAAGATGAAAACTCGACTAGCACCAGTCCTGCCGCGGATTTTTTTTTAGTTCAATGAATAGATTTTTATTTTGGCGGAGTTTGTCTACGTGAAGAAATTACTCACACCGTCTTCAAAAGCTCGTTTACTTCAGGATAGTAAGATGACCTGATCTGATCATCGTCCTGGAAATGCTTCTCAGTCGACTCGCTGTGGTAAATCTGGAAACCATTTTTGTCGAGAGAAAACTTCTCTTCGTCGCCTGCGAGATTGCTTATCGTGACGGAATGGGCTTCGAATGGCCTATCGTATGTTTCGGGCCTGTCAACGAACGTTGGATGCGGAGGTGACCCATCCTCATTGTCTTTATGGTAATGCAAGATTGCTTGCACTTCACTCTTGTCTCTTGAACGCGACTCGCCAAGGTCCTTTTCGCTGAGACTCTGGATATCCTTGATAGACCCCAGTCCTGTGTGAAATCGCACGTTCTGAGTCTCTGCCGCTGCCATGTTCTCAGCTCAATGTTCGGTGACGAGATAATGGAAAGTAGAAATTGATACCGATAAAGCAGCTGCTTCCAAATGTGTTAAAAGCTTACACCTAAAAATTGTCTCCAACGAGCTACACTCTTATTTATCCTACCCCAAATCCGCAAATGCACCCCGAGCACGCAATTTTCGTCCGACCGTGGGCAATTATGGATTGATAATCAACCCCAACAGGTTCACATCCTATGACCCCTAGCAGTGACTGTGTACAACGCTGAATGGTCTACTGGGAAAGCACCAAGAAAGCATCATTAGGGTTATGATTTCAAATCCGGCGTCTCACCTTCGCCCCCCTCATTCTAGCTCGGTCGAGCTTGTGTAATTGAGTTGCCTCGGCTTTTTTTACGGTGTCGTTGAGATAATCATCTGGATTGATAATCACGGATATCCACAAGAACATCCCTCTGTCATGAATTTATTTGGGACTGGGATCTCGAAGTGTCCAATACGAACTTTTAACCCTAACTTTCAATAAATTCAGTGGTTTTGATGATCGAATATGTGATGTCAATTCAAACAAATGGGTTGTGTTCACCACTTGACCAAGTGCGACTCATATAGAAATCCCTAGATGGAGATGGGTATCAACCATTTGCATTTGACAGTGAAGTTTGTCTCTATCCATTCAAATTCTTGTGTGTACAAGCTTAGTTATGGTTGTCCCATCACTCAAAACCTCTTCCTTTTCCTCAATCTTATAACCTCCCCACCGAGGCAGTATGATTGTCCAGACATACCAATATGCGACTCCAGCTGTAAGGCTATTACACATTAGCGGCAGTTCTACGAGCCCTACTCCTCCATTGGAGACCTCAACTTACATGCTTGCACCGACAATTGCATACGTAGCATAAAACAGCCCGTTTGAGGGCTTTGTGTCAGGCGGGAAAAAGGGCGCTGCAAGTAGGGCAAGACTCAGTCCGATTCGCAAGATCACAGCTGGAACCCATGCTTTGAAGGGGCGTTTGATATCGGGACGTTTGAATCGAAGCCAAAGAAGCCCGACCCCAACAGCCAACGCCAAGAATTGCCCGGGGTAGCCTTCAACCTCCAGAATGAACGAGTAAACTTCCCCTGACGGAGGCAACGTGATAACCAGAAAGGATGGTATGTAGTGAACAATCAAACCGCCTAGAGGTGAATTGAATGGCCTCGTCGAAGATAAGATATCAGAAAACGGAAGAAAGCCTTGTCTAGCAATCTCCTGTTTGGTACGTGCCTAGAGTCATCGTATAAGCATCCACAACACAATACAAACGTGAAAAAATCCTACCGCAGAGAAGGCAACGACGAGAACGTTGGCACCTGCACTCAGTGCAACCGCCAATGGAAGGACTGTCTTGCCCACACCCTCACCAAATATTCGTTCGAAGAAGAGAGCTGCAATCAGCTCGCCGCTCTCCTTAATCTCATCGACGGGCACGACGAGGAAGTATGCTACGTTGATAAGCGCGTAAAGTCCGCATGCGGTAGTCAACGCCGCCATCGTCACAGATCGCAAAGTTCGGACTGGGTCTTTAACCTCGTTTAGGACGTAGTTGGCGTTGTCGAGACCTGAGTATGAGTAGAAAACTTTGAATAAGGACGTGGCAATAACACCCCAATTCCAATTAGTATTCTCCCACATCTCTCCCCATCCGAGTCCTCCCGTTGTTTTTTGAGTGGACTTTGATGTTGGTCGGAACAAAACAACATAGAGGCCTGAGAATATCATGAAGACAACAAGAGCAACTTTAATCCAGCCTAGAAAGTTTTGCAGCCTGATGCCAAAACGTGGGAAGCAACCGTGAATCACGGTGATCAGGGTAAGCAGTGCTACAGCAAGCCCTTTCCGTAGAAAATCGCTGGGATTCTCGCCGCCCAGTGCGAATAATAGATACTCGCTGAAAACGATGCAGTTGCTGGCTGTGAAGCCTAAAAGAACGACTTGAATGGCGATGAGGGTTGATGCCAAGAAACGTGGCTGACGATATGTAAACTCCAAGTAAACTTTGTCTCCCCCCGACCGCGGGAGCATCGACCCAAACTCTAGGGAAATCATCAAGCCACACGCAGCAACTATTGCGCCGACAATCCATAGCAAAAGTGACAAGCCGGGGCTGCCGACGGAGCGAAGGATGGCACCCGGAGTGGCGAAGATGCCGCTGCCAATTACTCTTGAAATAACAAGAATATAAGCACTCTGCCATGTCAACGTGCGACCGAGTGTCGATGTTTCTGGAAGCACATCGTCTTCTACTGAGCGTGACGGATGGGTATTTCCAGCCCCGACTTCTTGTTCATTCGATGTATGTCTCCCGGACAACAGTTGCTTGGTATCTGAACTTTCTGTAGAAGATCGCGAGGGTCGTGGCGTAGATGGAATCAGCGGCTGCAGCTCAGGGTGAACTAGACAACTCATGTTGACGAAGGCTGACGCTGAGTGGAGATGATGCGTTGGCGTAGGCGAAAACACAGAGTAGGACAGCGTTGAATGGAAGAGTCGATCGTAGAGCCTGAGTGACGACCTCGGGGTTATCTAGATTCATACTGGGCTATCAAGATAACGTTGTTCACCAAAAGAAGAAGGCGACGGCGAAAGATGTGATTGACATGGTTCGGGTGTCCGGCTTCACGGTACCGAGACGCGTTGGCTCGAAAGGGCAGGGGGATGTCAAACATGTCATCGGCCAAGGGCGCGTGTCCACGGAGATTGATGCTTGATAAGAATGTGGATACGCTGATGCCTGAATTCTGTCTTGTGAGGCGTGTCTTAAATGGCGTAATTATGTTTCAAAATGTGAGTTTCGGGTGCAGACCACACAATATGCCAGTCCTGTCATCCACACGGATTCGCACGCCATCATTGCGCAACCTGACGAAAATTGGGGAGTGATTCTTGAGGGCACGTGAAAAAACCCTATCACTACCCCAAATTCGATCCCCAACTTAGACCAACTAAGAGCCACGGACTCGGGCACCGATTCGCTTCCGCGGTCGCAACATCCTTGTTCAGTTGAGTGCGTACATGCAGGCTCTGGCTCAAGAGGACAAAGCGCTTGGGTCTTCCTTTCAAGTTCTTATCAAGGTTCCGACCTGCGTACTCCATCTGTAGATAGATACCCAGATTACAAGACATTAAACATCAACTTCCACCCTGCACGATGGGCTGCCACAAACTTAAATCAACCGACATAGATTGTCCGCGCAGTCGATGCATCTGCCGCGGAGGTAGCATGCTCGTGTCGTGAATAATTCCTGATAATGAGCATTGCAAGCCTTCCGAGGCTTCGTTACATATCGCGTTGTGAGGAATGAAATCCCCTGCCAGCATCATGTCCGAGGTCATGGCGATAAGGCGTTTTCGATTGGCGCCCCATGATTCCGCTAGTATGGAATATTGAATTCAGGCGAAAATTTGGTGGGGATTAGACGAAGTCTTCAATTCAGATAAGGTGCCTATTTAGGAAACCAAATTTCGGACGTCACATTGGCTTAACTAGACTCAGTATCTTCCGTCATCATTGCAGTTTCCAAATCCAAGACGATAGCAGAACTGACTTTGTCATCATTCTTACGCGTAAAACCCTCAAGATGGTGCTTGATCTTCGACAGCCGACTCAAATATAGCCTCCATTTTCCGGCGCTTTCCGTGGGGATTATCAACACTGGCTGCATGCTTGAGTTCACTTACAGCAGAGCCTAGTGCGCGCACCATCCAAAAGGAACCACTGCACAGGTTTCCTTTTCTATCCGAATGAGCGATTACGGTCCGATGTAACCGACAGGAATTCGATTTGCGAGGCCACTTTTGTAGCTGGGCAAATGCCTCTTCGGCATGTCTGAAGGATGTTCGTTCGATAGTCCATGCTGTTTATTGATCCGCCTTGGTTGTACCCGGCAATCTACGACTAGAATAGACTCTCCTCTAGTACTCCATAGGCGTTTACATACATGCGATTGTCTGTTTCCTAGTGAATCTCCACAATTCGACCAAAGAGTAAATATTGCTACAATAGGAGTAGTAGATGTGGAGGAAGGATTCGGCCAGTGATTCCAAATGATTGACAGGGGCCATCAGGGCACAGCTCCTGATAGCACCTGACGGGTTGCAGTCCGTGGAACCCAAACCTTATGGCAATAGCATGCATACTTGAAGCCAAGGCTGGGATAAAAAAGTAAGTAGGTATATCAGGATCACTTAGAGTGTGCTACTCATACGGGGTACTGCTCTTGGGCTCAACATGTGGCATTTACCTGGCACCTCCATCAAGTTAGCAGCTGCAAAACATCTCGGCTAGCTTCCATAAATATGAAGAAGGCTCAGAATGACATTTACACTCCTTTCCCCGCCATTCAGCGCCGGTGGCTTTTACCCAAGTAGGCTCATGTTATAGGAGCAGGATTTCAATATCACAATACAGTGGGCCTCGCATAAGTTTTTCAACGTTAATATGTAGCTAAGGCTAGATGTCAAGGCTTGATGTAGATGTCAAGGCTTGATGTAGATGTCAAGGCTTGATGTAGATCAGTCTTATATCCGTAGAGTACCTCGGTTATATCGAGGATTCATCATTAGCCTGCTGGGTATTTGCTTATCTCCAATATTAGCTACTTCTTCCAAGAGCGAGACGCTGGGGTTCCTCAAATGAGCTCCACTGCACGTGCGTAAATAGATGGGTCTTCCTCGTCTTCTTTCTGCATCATGTAGCTATATCAAGGCTCACAGCTTGGAATATTTAAAAGGAAGGCCAAGATAGTTCAGTTACTCAAACTCCTTCAAAACAGGGCAGCCCATTCTGTGGTGGTTGGCCCCGGGACTGAGAAGGATTTGAGCTTTTAACGCCAACTCCCAAGTTCAACCCGATCTAGCTAGCACGAGGTGCTTGCCCATCCTTGGGCTTTCAGCCGTGCGCCACAAGAGTTCCTTACACTGATGAGGAAACGCTTTGTTGTAGAAACTGTGGAGATACAGGACCTTGGTGCCGCCATCAAACAAGGCTAGTCAACACTAAGAGCGTCGAAGGGTCAACCACGCGACGATGTCTGGGGGTATATCGAAGGGACTCTTCTCCACGCTGCTTTCATATTTACCCTTCGTCTGCGTTTGGTTGATGGCTTGGTATAAAGCATGCCAAGATTGATGCTTAATATCCGCCCTAAGCTAGTCTGCAGCATTAGCTTGGTCCTTTTAAAGATCGAGGAACCTCAATCAGGTTGCCTTATTTCACATAAGTGGCATGCTTCACCCGACAACATGCCGGCGGTTTCTAGACTTGGTTCTGATCAATACACATACTGATAGAAATTTTGGGAGAGCAAAATGGGTCTCGGATCCAAAGGCAGCTTGCTTCCTAGCCATCGGGAACCCGTTCCGAGTGAACTGGTCGAAAGCGCGCATCCAGGAACACAAAGTTGTCTTGCTCCTCCTTCTACTTCTTCTCCCAGGTTTACAGCGGCTTCACCTCCTTCAGCCTCTATTCTACCCTCTCAAGCTGACCCAATTTCTTCGGAGCATTATCCAATGAAACGCTGGACAGAAACAAAGGCCTCTCCAGTGACAGAAGGACACGCAACCCCTAGGAATATCGACGCCCCACCACTACCGCTACCGCCCGCCATTGTAGCTCACTACAGAAGACGTCTTTTCTGGTGGGCATTTCGATACTTCATAATTGTTGTCGTCATTTTTAGTGCATTTCTCATCCCCCTTATCACGCTGAGCAATGATGCAGACTTCTCCCAAGACTCCACACCACAGACGATTCAGGACAAACAGTATCGCAATTTGGTCTATTACATCAGCCTATGGCTAGAGATAACCTGGGTAGCAGCCGTCCTCTTCGACTGCCTGGGGCTCGGCTTGCCATATCTCTTCAGGTTCATCGCAAGGTCAGTCCCCAAGTTGCTGCATGCGTCGCGAGCAATTGCTTATATGCATATCTTCCTACATATAGGTATATCAATTCGTCTCACCAAAGATATTGGAGAATATTAAAACTTCTGCGCCGGCCAATATGCTTCTTGGGTACTATCATTGTGACCTTTATCTTTTTCGCCGCTGTAAGTCGCAATGTATGCATTCTCGGGGGCGGCGTTGACCATCTTGTGTCTCCAGTGTATCAATACCAACGAACTCCTTGCTGTGAATGTCAACAAGGACCCGAACACACTTGCATGGGATGACGTTGTGGCTGATATTTTAGAGCAAGCTACTCTCTGGGTTGCATTCTATTTCGTCGAGAGAGTGCTGATATCCTACATTTCGGTACACTACCACTATCGAGCAAATCACGCCAAGATTGCTTACACGAAGGACCTGCAAAATGCCCTTATCACGCTCTACGATGCATCGATATATCTTCACCCCTCGCATCGCGGCACCTTTGATGAGGATGACATGATAATCCGGAATGCTGCTGGCGGAACTCATGACCAAGAGCGGATGAGGGTCTCAAGCTACCTTGCTCGACTAGGACTTGATGGCTACAAGCTCGTTGGACTATTCGGGGATTTCATTTCCGACGATCCCAAGGCCCATTGGATGCGCCCTGCGAGTACCTACGCGATTATAGAGCGTGCTTGGGGTAACCAAGAGGCGTCAAGTGCACTTGCAAGGCGCATCTGGTTCTCCTGTGTCGCCCAGGACAAGTCGAGCCTCACTCTTAATGACATCGAGGAAGTCCTCGGACCCCATCGGACCCCGGAGGCCACGAGAATCTTCACGACCTTAAACGAAGGCCAAAGTCATGATATCCGCCTTGACGAGTTCACGGCGATCATCCTGGAAGCTGGCAAAACGCGCCAGGACATATACCGCAACATCAATAATATGGACCACTGTATCAACACTTTCGATTGGTTCTGTCTCTTGATAATTGCCGCGGTGATGATCTTTTTCATCAGTAAGTACGCCTACCCGCTCTTTTGAAGTTGACTCTAATAAGTTCAAAAGTGATTGCATATGTCCCGGCGATGAAAGAAATCCAAAGCGTCTTGTCTTCCTTAGCTATTGGTCTTTCATTTGCTGTTGGTCGTACATTCCATCATCTCCTTGTCGGCATCGTCTTTGTTTTCTTCGATCATCCATACGACATCGGCGACGTCGTCAATGTTTGTAACGCTGGTGCAGCTACGGGTATTGCCTGCACTGTCAAACAACAGTCTCTTCTATACACAGTCTTCAGACGACTTGACAACAACTGCGACTTTCAAATTTCCAACGAACAACTCACACAAAAGCGAGTGGAGAACTACACCAGGTCTGGTATCAACCGCCAAGGCTTGTCCTTGTTCGTGGACTTCAGGACCAGCTTTACAGACATCATGCGTTTGAGAAGTGTCCTAGAAGAATTTCTGGCACAGAACTCGCGAGATTATGTCCCAGAGACACTAGGGTTGAATGTGGCAAGTCTTCATGAGCTAAACAAAATGGAGCTTAAAATTGCGTTCACTCATCGCAATAACTGGTCGGATGACAAACTTCGCTCCCAGCGGAGTAGCAAGTTCCACTGTGCCTTGGTTTCAGCGTGTCGCTCTATTCCACTTTACAAACCAGGTGGCATGTCTCCTTCTGCTGGCGAAAACGGGAACCCCATGTATACTGTTCAGTTGGATGCCTCTAATGAGCTGCAAGAGAACATTGAGAAGGAACAGGCTCGTAGATATGGCTTGCGATGGGATCATCTCAATGAGAATCCACTTCCACAGGCAAGCCAGGTTCAAGCGGGAGAAAGCTACAATGATGCTCGCGACTTGGGAACTGTAGAAAAGACCAAAGCAGCCAAGGCAAAAGAACAGGAGGCTTTCCTGAGATTGGCAAGACTTCCCATAATAAACGAGGAGATGGGGGCAAGTACTGGCATAGGTCTTCCGGTTTCCGCGAATGGATTGCGTCAGTCTGTCAAGCATTTTCTTTGATTGGATCCAAGGCCGATAGCCGCCTGTCAATTCAAGCGATCCAGCACCTACGCAACGAGGGAAAGATCTTCTCGTGATTCCGTAGAAAGGAAACACAATTTCGCACCATTTTCTGAAATCCTGTCTCAGTGTCCCTGACTTGTGTTCTTATTGAACACTTCCACCTTTTGTTAGGTCGAGACACCTTCATTATCAAAGTGCCAAATTGATGAGAAAACCGAAATCATCTTCGGGGCAGAGTTCCATCTTAAGTAAAGAGCTCGCTTCTTCAATATCTAGTTTTTCAATAGCCTATAGCTCTCCTTCATGTCTAGCTTCAGATGAGCTGACAGGCTTGCGCGTCTAAGCGCAGTGCTTCTGCCTCTAACGTTAAGTGTTCGCACCTGTCAATCCAAGAGATAGTCTCTTTATCAAAGGATATTGTCTTTACAGTCACGCTGGATTCTTGGCTGATAAAGCCACCTCCACCTTCTTTAACCATTTTCCTGAATCATACAGCGATTGCGATGTCGCAAATAAATGGTGATAAGACGCCCATGAGTGAGTGGTATTGAAAAAGTAGAAGTGTTGTAAGCCTAAGCAGCACTTCAGTCTTTTAACATTATTTCCAATTGGACCGCGGCGTCGACCCAACCGTACGGTCACCCTAATTATGGGTATAGCAACAACAATCACCCCCATTCGATTGTGAATGGCACGTCTAGTTAAATAAACGCAGGTCATAAAAGGTTTTCGAAAGTCCGCATTGGATGACGTTGGAGATTTCATACTGTGCATTTTGTCTCAGTTCAGTGTCTTAATATTGGATGCCCAATCGATGCTTTACTTCTAGTGTGTGCCCATGATCAAGATTTCTAGCCAATACTCAAGTCTCACTTGAAAACAAACCAGTATGTCCTTTTGATCTCGGATATTGAGGCGCTTCTGACAGGTTTCGAACAGCGGACGGATTGAGCTTCCCCAAATCTGAAGTGCGTCGAGTAGTGAAGTACAAGTGAGAAGGAGGCTTGCTTCCTCCATACTATCCCATGGTCATTTTCGAGATCGCGCAAGTATGTTCGTCATTGAATTGGGACGTCACTGCTCGTACTCTATCTATCTTGGGCTTGATTGAATTTTCGAGGAAAGCCTAAGCGGCAATCCTACCCAGTTTCAGGCATGCTCCTTTCATTCCAGAAGCCAGAGATGGCCTAAAATTAGACGAAAAAGAGCTGATAGTGTTCCAAGCCACTGCTGCCTATTATATCCTGCTCTCAAGATCGAGGAACGCCGCGGCTATACCCGTTCCTACGCGTCGTTGATGAAGTTGTTTGGACTGATTAAAGAAGAGTATGGAGTCAAATCAGTCCATTCATGCCATCTGAGACTTCTTCATCTGATATTCCTATTGGAACAGGTGTTTGGGAATTCAGATATATGGCGAGTGCCGACCGGTGAGCCATTCGCTTCACTCACAATTGCGATATTGAAAGGAGTCACGATCAATTTGAACAACTCGTAGTAGTCTGGGTCATTCGCCTGGTCCAGAGCGAGAGCAATTTCGCTTGATTTATAATTGAATACCATCCCTTGAGTAAACTGGACGTCCTTGGCAAATCGTACGGACACTAGGTCAATGGGACGTCCTCAACGTCACATCTTGACGCTTCCGACAGACCGTGCGACCGCTTCCAATAGAGGCCCAGTTGTGCAGACATTTCGAATTCTCCATCGGCTTCAATATGCCGTACCGAACGTTCGGTCCCGAACCTCTTCAGCCAATAGGCGATCATTTAGTTTCTGAGTCGATTAAGAAGCCAATATCGGGGATCGAAGGCTAATACATACCAGACCAACAAAAGGTCATAAAACAGAACCGCCTTAGGAAATCCACTCTTGAAGGTACTCTGGGTTTGAAGTAATCTATCAAATACTGATGATCAGATACTGTGACAATTCGGTTTATAGCCTTGATGGCACATGCACACAAGCAATTTGGCTGAGAATTTGGATGCTTAACTCAGTGACACTGGGGAAGTTCTCCTCACCAATCCCCCTTCCGAGCGGTTGAACTCTTGATACATTCAAAATTTGGTTCATTAAAGTGAATGTACTATCGTCTCCTTTGCGTATTATTATCCACCTCAAAGTTTGAAAATCTCTCAACCTTCATCGCCACCTTTGGGGTATAGTTGATCAAAAACGAACGTAGACTATAACCCGCTAATATCAACTCTGTATAATGGAGTACAGTTCCTTCTCCGGCAAACCCAAACGCTCTCCTCAACAACTTTTCTCTCCTTCACAGCTTTTGTCGCATTATGGACTATTATATTTATATATTCATGTAGGCAGCCATTCCGCCGAAGAGGGCAGCAGCGCCGACAGCAGCGGTGCGTATGGGACCAGCCTCAGTACTGGAGGAGGTAGAACGGACACCGCCACCGTTGTTGGGACCGGTCTCGGTGGCCAACGGGGCAGTGGAGGTGGGGCCGGTGATGCCGCTGGTGAAGGGGTTACTGCCGTCGGTAGCAGTGCCAGCGTCGGTGTATGCGGGAGGGCGGGTAGAAGCGGTCGTGTCGGGCTCCACGGAAGTGTTGTTGGGGTTCAAGACGCTGAACAAGGTTAGTATTTATAATACAATGGGCATGAGCTCTGGGACTTACTTGTCAATGACGTGAACAACACCATTGGAGATGAGGACATTGGGGATGAGAACCTCTGCCTCGTTGACATATACTGTCCCGTTGATGACGCGGATGGTAACATTTCCGCCGTTGAGAGTAGTCAAGGAAGTGTTCGTAATGTCGGGGCTGTACAAGACAGAGCCGGCAACGACATGGTACTGGAGGATGCTGGGAAGTGCTGCAGTCAGGTTGGCGGTGAGGTTTCCGATAGAGCGGAAGGCCTCGTTATTGGGGATGAAGATTGTCAGATCTTTTGCGGCAGTGAGAGCAGGGCCAACGTTGGCAGCCTCGATGGCGCCCAAAGCAGCAGTGAGATTGGCAGCACGAAGGGTGTCGGGGATCGGTTGGGGAACGCTGAGGACCTTGTCAATGATGTGGATTGTGCCAGCCGTGAAGTTGACGTTGCCAGCCGTGACAGTCGAGTTTTCTCTCAGAGCAGAGTAGAAAGTTACGTTGCCATCGACAGTCTGGGCCTGGACGCGCTGGCCGCCGGTGACATTGGTGTACGTCTCGTTGGTGAGGAGGGTGGGGATGAATCGCGGCTCTTCGGTGAACTGAGAAGCGTAGTAGGTACCGGTGAGGACGTGATACTGGAGAATGGCTGTGATGAGGCCGGGGTTCGAAGCAGCGCCCTGGGCACCCGGGCTTGCCAGGAATGCCTCGAGGGCAGCGTTACTAGGTGCCAGGATGGTGATGTTCTGTGCTTGTGAAAGAGCTCCGACCAGGCCCGGCTGGGAGCCGAGGAGTGCTGTGAGCTGTTAGAGCTCCGTATGTGACCAGCAAAAGGGTTAGAAACGGACCACTTACTTATGAGAGATGACAAGCTAGAGTTCTGGGAAGCCAGAGCTGCCGTCAAGTTTCGCTGGCTGCCCTCCTGGGCAAGCGCAATACTGGCCAAGGCCACAGGGAGAATGTTCCTGACCTGCATGTTGTTGGTTCGGCGTGCGGAAAGCTGGGTCTAGCGTGTCGGGAGTACTGGGTGTTAGAACTATTGCAAATTCAAGCTGGTCGAGAAGAGCTTACTGTAAAGAGACCTGGCGGAGGTGACAGCATTTAAAGTAAAGTGCGAGCTCCTCGTTGGGACTTTGCACGAATCATGCCAACCATCTTGGGGAGCTCAAGCCCATGAGGATCATACCAATCGCGTCGTCGTTGGGTACCAAAACAAGCCGAATCAAGCTTGTTGCCCAGGCTGTATGAAGAATTGGGAGGCCTGCCACGCTTCTTGTCCCCAGACATGGGTCTTGGTCGACATCACGACCGCGCCAGGGATCGGGACCTTAGACCGGGGCAGACTAGGGGGTGGAGAAGCCTCCTTAGCTCGCAAGAGAGCACGACGCTGGCAGACGACCAATGAGCTGTTCAATGGGATCGCGAGCTGAGTGCCAAGTCGATCGTGAAGTCGCTTTTGGCCGGCGTGTATGCCAAGGGCGAACTTGCATTGGCCCAGCGATGGTCGAAGCCCGACGACATGTTCAAACTCGCCTGCTCGCGTACCGACTACCGTTCCAAAGCCATCTTGTCTTGCGTACGAGCTGGAAGCTGCACAAGTCATTGCTGGCTAGCACTGCAGACCTAGACTACTTGGCAATACGGATCCACGAGATGGAGATGAGAGGCAATTCCCGTCCGAACATGCGATTCCGCGTCCCGTTGCGGTCAAATTAGCATTCTACCGACTCACATCACGAACCTACTGGAAAATACGGAAGGCCAGGGAACTGCCTGGCTGCCAGAAGCTTAAGGCATTGGACGCCATTGACAGCATCTTGTGTCTTGGAAGTTGCGTAAGCCTACGCCCGACTGGCGCAGCTTGGGGGAGGGGAAAGGCAGAAAAAGTCGATGTCGTCAGGATAGACCGTTTAGCGCCATTGAAGACGGGGGAGACTCCGCTGGCGCTGAACACCCAGCCGTGTAAAGCTGGTGTGCCGGGGGGCTGGCAACGTGGAAATCCCTGCTCTGAGTAATAATTACAGCTTGTATATCTTGAAAATGGTATTCTCCTGCTCGTCTCATGGTTTGCCTTACTGTCGCCGCAATCTGCAAGAACCTTGACTACCTTAGGTTCATCAAAGGCTTTTTCCCAGCGTCGATACTTATTCAGGTCCTGTCAAGACGACTGGAGAAATAACGCGAAAGAAAGAGAGAGAGAGAGAGAGAGAAGATGCACAGAGTCGCGTAGCACTGCAGCCGCTTCCCCGCATCATCCAGGAAGATAATCGGCCCCAATGCAGGGCCAGTCAGACCATTCCCATTTCCCCTTGGCCTCGCCTTAATTACAGTCTCGTCTCCATGGTGCGGGTGAGGTGTCCCGGTCAGGCCCCAAGTTCATTGACACACGCATCCGCGATCGGTTTAGCGCTATGGCGAAAGCGTGGCCAAGCAAGCGGCATGGAGCAAGCTCCTTGGAACCCAAGAGCTCTAAACGCTGGCTGTGTCCACTCCAACATGCTGCGTTATAGCCATTGACCATATTACCATGAGAACGGTGCGTCATCGATTCACTTGCCAGATCGCAATTTTGGCTTTTATTTCATCAAGTGAGCCAATGGCGCATTCCTCTCCCCGGGGACCGTTGCTTGGCAGTTGCATTTCCTTTGGCCATGCCCTTGCCTGGCCGTCCTTAGTGCAATAGAGTTGAACTCGTTGAGGCCTCCGGTCTTGTCTAGGCGAACCTCTTCTCAGTGATTGTCTGATTGAGGGGCGCTCGCTGGCGCGTTTCGAGCTCGGGAGTTCGTCAAGTCTGGGCATCGCCACGTTGTGGTCCGCCATACATAGGAGGAAGCGTGAGGGGCTGTGGGGAAATTTCTGGGTATCTTTTCGTAAAGCCGAATTGGGCCAAGTCGTCGTCCATCCGTCATCCTCCGTGACCTTGGCGAGGCTTCGCGTCAACATCCGATGCCATTTCGCCATGTGTACTTACGCCCGACTTACCCCGCGCCAACACATCATTGAATTCGAGGCAGAAGACAACTTATTCCTGACTTAACCCAAAGCTGGACCAAAGACATCGTCGCCTTCCGTGACCTTTCGTCGCTTGGCATCCCGCGCCTCGTTTCCGCCGAGCGCTCCGCCGAGCGCCCCACCGAGCACTCCGCCGTTTCCGCCGAACACGGACCCGTCAGCCTCAGCTTTGGGTCTGCGCGTCTCCTTCTGCGAAGCCAACTCTCGTCGAGCCTTTTGCAGAGCCACTAGATCTGCGCGATCGGGATCTCTGCACTTCTTCAGCTTTCGTATCAGAGGTTTGATTACCTTCGTGGCCTCAACCTGTCCCTTTGTTAGTCTTGTCACTATCAGCACAAGGCAACTTCCAAAAGCAACATACAGTTCCCCAGTAGTCGTCCAACCTCTCGGGCGGCTCGGTCGCCAGCAGCTCCCTGCACGCCTCGATTGTTCCCATCACCTTGTCACGTATGTCGTGTCGGGCGAGGTCCTTGGCGCCTTCGTTCCCTATGCCATTTTGAGCAGGAGTAAAGGCACTCTGAACGAGTTTCTCGGCCAGCCCTCGGTCAGCCAAAGAAAGTGCGGCAAGCATGATCTGGCTCGGTGTGTAGTGCAAGTAGGCGTCTGTCACGAGAGAACTGAACTTGAGGAACGCTCGGGCACGGAAATGGGCGGCGTCGATTCGACTTCGCTGTAGAGCTTGTCAGTAGTGTGCAACAACAGCACAACAGCTTGCAATATACCTCAAGGTCGGCATGGCGCCGAAGTTCCAGGATCGCTCCTTCCAATGCGCGGAACGGATGCCTGACGTCGAAGGCGAATCGAACTCCTTGACAAAGCAGAAACTCCCCTGCTAGAATCTCCTCCTCGGTTGTGTTGGGGAACTTGTCGGCCAGCTTGGCTAGACGGGTATACAATCCCTCAGCCTTGCTTCCGAAGAATAAACAGGTCTTGAGAATGTCCTGAGGAGGGTATGTCATGATGGAGTTGGTGACATAGAATCGGCGGAGGAAGACGGTCGCAGTCGCTCTGACCTCTGTTGGGAGACCACAGAAGTCGGCTGCGCGAATCAATTCGACGGTAAAGAACTTGAGCAACTGAGTCTCCTCGGGAGGCGTCAAGAACTCGGGCATCGAATCGGCCGCATCGAGGTCCACGCGTTTCGTTTCCACAAGGCGACTAGTGATGTTTGTTTTTGCCAGAGAGTTTGTCTGTTCTCGCAGTTCCGCTAGCTTGGCCGGAGAAAAGGACCACAGTCGATACTGCGTTGAAAGTCGGTATCGCGCATCTTCGGTTGCCATCGTGGCAAGCTGGCAAGTTGCCAGCAATCGATTGAGGGTACCTTCGGGTGTAGCCGTGAGAAGGACGAGGTATGTGTTAGCGCAATGTGGACGAAGCAATGGCCGCACAGATGGGATGTTGAGGTATCTTTGTGATGTGTAGAAAGACCAGTGTTGTTCAATTAATGGTAGCGAACGGGTCGATTCAGAGTTGGCAGTACTCAGATGAAAGCAAGAAAGTCTGGCGACCTTATCGGTGCTGATAAGCTAGCTGCCTAAGGTAGGTAAGGTACCTACCTAAGGTAGGCTGACACCTTAGGCGAAGCCACCCGCAAGCTAAGCTCGAGCCGTATGTGAAGCACGTGATGTGGCGCGGTCCCTTCTGTCGACCCTCTCGGGTTGTGTATATCGCGGGTGCGATAATCACAGTGGTACGGAGATATTAAGCCGTAGATCCACCGCGAAGCTCTGCCAAGCATTGAAGAAAGACTACGGACGTACGGATACAATCTCACTTGACAATCCCGGCCAGCGACGTAAAACCGGCCAGTGGCGTAAAATTTCTCCTCCTAACGTTGAACAGTCAGCAGGGAATCTGCGCGATTCTACACGTTAAAAACAAGGCCTTGACGTCACATCTATGCAGCCGTGCCAAAGCTGTACTGATTTGCTGAGTATGAGTAGGGTTACTTTGAAATTGATCTCCTCCACACCTGCTCATCTTGAGAGTTATGCCTTACACCGCAAAGCAAAGTTATATTAGCCATACGAACTTCGACGCTTTCGGTGGCTGGCGGTAACAGAGGGAATAGAATCCATGCTTAGAACTTGGACACGAACCCAGCCATTTCTAATCAATACACTCTTCTTGACAGAAGCTATGCGATGAGGGAACCAACAGTTGCGGATCCAGCCCACGGATATTAACACGCCCAAACGCCCTGCCCCTACCAGGAGCCCCTGACCCGATTCTGAAAGAACAGTCTATTGATGCAAGAAGACCCAAAACAAGTATCGCACATCGCTACGCCGACCCACTGCCTATCTTCTTCCTACGAATCTCAAAAAGCGGTGTATATCTAGTATCCAACCTCCCGCTTGGCGGGGACTGGGGGCGCCGGCTTCTTGGCTCGGCTCGGGGGAGGAGGCGGAGGTGCTTTCTTGGCCTGAAGGTTGCTCGTGCTTCGAGTCAAGCTGCTTCCCATGCTTGTGGCCGGGCTGGCACTGCGGTCATTCCATTCCGGACTGCCGCTACCGCTGACTGTTGTGTGGTCATCATCGGCAAACACATCGCTTGCCATCGGTCTGCCGGTAGGCCTCAGATTTCCACGCAGAGATCCAATATGAGAAACGGCGGGTACTGGTGGAGTGGCGGCCACGGATCGTCTGTCGGTGGCAGCTGGCCCCTGGAACGTCTGAGACCTACTGATAGACGGCCTCGAGGTTGTGTCATTCGACGCGCCAAACTTGACCTCGGATCGTTGGGAACGAATGGGCATGCGAACAGGCATTGGTTCCGGCTCCTCCTCGACCTGGTTGTTACGGGCCGAATAGTCGTTGAATGAACGGGCCGTGTTGGACCGCCCGCGGCCATTTCCGTAGCGGCGGTCAGTTGGTGAAGGGGGCGCGTTGCCGCCAGCCCAGTTTTGACGAAGTCGACGAAGCTCCTCCGCGCAGCGATCGTGGTAGCTCAGCTCGGCGTCGAGTAGGCCGGTCAGATCGCGAACGTTATCGGTCTCGGCGTCCTTGATGTCGGACATGCGTCGCATGACGTCTTCACCAGCTTCTTCGTACTTGGCGCGGGCTGTACGAAGCTCCTCCTCGAGGCGGAAATCCTCGCGCTTCGTTTTTTGCATTTTGCTGATTGCAGCATCGTAGGCCAATCGGCGCGACTCGAGCTTCTTCCGTGCGGCCTGGCGGAGAGTGTGTCAGATGGGATGGGCTGAAACTACATCTGGACGAGCCATGACGTCGGTACGTACCTGATACTCTTTCATCATTGCCAAAGACCTCTCGACAGAAACAAGCCAGTTATCGGTAACTTCAGAGGCATAGCTTTCCTGGATACCGGCAAGACGTTCGTTGGTTCGACCGAGAGCTGCGCATTCTGCGGTTAGCGATGCTGGAGACGATAGAGAATGGGAGGTCAGGCAACTCACAGAGCAGGCAGGCGCCAAACTCCGAGTCGGGCTCGAATTCCTCGCCGTGGGAAATCATCATGCGACCGACAAAGGCGATTGGCAGGCCCTTCTCCTTGTCATCGAAGGCCTCACCACGGCGGGCGACCCATTTGACATATGTGTTTGTGGATTTTTGGAGTCTTTCCATTCCTGGTGCAGAAATAATATTAGTATCTCGTTGGACCGCTGACTGCCCGTCGAAGAGGTAGCATACCGTCATATCGCAGCTGCATCTCCATCTCCAGATTTTTAAACTCGTCCGTCTGTCCCGTCTTGGACTCGGATCCCATCTTTTCGCCGGCCCATTGGAAGGCGCGGTCGAATTTCTTGGTGAAGTTCATGGCAGCGGTAGTGGTTTGGTGCGCTTAGACAGACCGTCGGAACGCTCAGTGAGAGTGGAAAACGTGGATTGAAGGGGAGGTAGCCTGACGGTCGACGTAGTTATTAGGGTGACGAGTTGGAAGTAGGTTCGGTCGATGCCAGCATTCAACGGGTGGTTGTAGAGAAAGTATGACGAATAGGGTGGTTTGGCGGAGCTCGTTGCAAGAATCGTAAGGTGAGAGGGATGTTGAACAAGCGAGTGGTGGATGACGAAAAACGGCGGGAACTTTGGGAGCGAGAATGCAAGACGAGGCCTTGGGAGCAGATGAAAAGAAATGTAGAGAAAGGGAGCAGTGGCAAAAGATAATACACACGGTCGACAATGCAAGGAGCAGGGATGGAGAGATGTGCCGTCAAGCGGAAGAAGCAGGTGAAGAAGGAGGACCGTGGAAGGGGTGGAAGGGGCGGAAGGGGGTGCGTGGTCACTGTGGTGGGAGCTGGAGGGATAGAAGATGATTTCACAAAACGGGTTACGGGACGAGGAGAAGCGAACGGTGGATGGATCAATTGCAAGGTAAGGTATCCGTACCGTGTATCCGTATGGTTTGATGTACGGGGTGAAAGTACGTAGCTCGGGCAGTCGTTGGCAGTTCCAGTTCCAGTTCCAGTTCCAGATGCAGCTCAGTTGGTACCTCACACAGGGAGACTCGAGAGAAAGGCGTACGGTATGTAGCCTGTATCCGTAGGTTATGCAGCAAAAGGTTAATTGGGAGAAGCAGCAGAAGCAGGTCGAGGTCAGGTATCCGTGGCAGGAGATGCGTAACTGTACTGAAGTGTGTCTCAATGCTCTGGTGGAGTGTGTGTGGTGCATGGCGTTGCTGCAGTGTTCTGTTGCGGGAGGTGGGTTTGGGAGGCGAGCTAAGGCATGAGCTAAGGCATGCAGGTACGTATCGAGTGGGGTGGTCGGGTGTCACTCCCCGGGAGGGAAGGGACAGAAGGACCTTGTGTTTGGAAAGCTTGAAGGAGTATCCGTAAGGCAAGAAAGAGGGCAGGGACGGAAAGCACGAGACTGGACGTCACGGCAAGATCGGTGACTGACCTGGAAGGAGAAGGGACCTGGAAGGACAGGACATACGGTACTCCGTACCCATTTTCATTTTCAGAGTTTTTGCCAGACTTGCCCGCCTTGCGGATGCAAAGTTTGAACTGTGGAATACGTGATCTCAGGCACGTACCGGTATCCGTACTCCCGTCTTCAACCGTTTCTACCTCATTGCCGTCCACTGCCTGCCCTTCTTATCGCCGGCCTGGCACCCTTTGATGCATATGTACTTGATTCGCAGGGTGGTCACTCCACACCAAATCTTCCTTTCCCAGCTGCTCTTTTCCATCCAGCCATGCATCCATACTAAGTAGGACATGTAAATATGCTGAGCCACTGGGGAACATGGCAAACGATGCCACGCATGGGGTGGATCAGAGGGAATGGAAAGGGACGACGCTCAACGGTCGATGGGCGGCGAGGGGGTCGGGTGGGAACTGGGAAGTGAGGTAGTCCCACTATCTCAGGTTCGAGAATGGAAAGAGATTGAAGGCGGGGTACCTTCCAAAGTGACCGTGGCTGTGGCTACTTACCTTATTACACTACCTGAAGAAAGCGGCTGGCGTACCGAAGATGACAGAGTACTTTCTACTCAATTAAGGAGCCTCTAAAGATGATGTACTGCGTCGTTGGTAATACCTTGCTAACGTGAGGAAGCAGCGAAAATGGGTCAGCCCAATCTTGGACCGACTGCAGACGGGCAGTCGAGAATCTATAGTATTTTCTTCAAAAGCCTCGCTGTACGGATACTAGATACCCGTACAGAGTAAGTGTGGTAAGGTAGCACCATTAATAGGCGAGCAGGCGAGCAGGCGAGCAGGGTCTGGATCGTGGCAGGTGCATCTGCTAATGCACACCCCGTCTTCGAGCCGCAGTCTTGCAGGTTTTCTCGGCGGAGTGTTGGCTTTTTTGGAGATGGCGTTGTCGCATTGCCCACCGCCGGGCTGGTTGGCAGCTGCAACCCGCACCTGCCGAATCTGCACCAACTAATAGGTCTAACCCCAGCATGGGAAGACTCGAGGAGTGATCGCAGCCGTCTAGACGAGGTTGTGCAGGTATTCGTAATTTAGCCGTGCTGCCGTGGTGTATGTACGTACGTACACTAGCAATACACTCAATCCATAACGTATGTAGCTTTCTAGTCCCCCCGGGCGATTGATATGAAGGGAGCCAAGGGGAGCCAAGGGGAGCCCCGATGTGGAGGGGTCTCGTGTCACTGTCCGTGCTGTATTCTGCAACTTGGCCAGTGGAGGCATCAAATCAGAAGGAGGGTGGGCTCCACTCGCAATCAACAAACCTACAGTGTATCCGTACCTTTAGGGGCCAACGATCCGCGGCATTGGTTAGCACCTCAGCATGGTACATTCGAACCTAGGCAGGTATCCGCACCTTCCACAGCTTCGATGCTTTTGCCAGATAGACTGTCCGTAGGAGGAAAGTGAACTAGCCCTCCTCATCTTCCCTCCTGCCGATTTCCTCAGCCTAATAATTGTGTCCTGAGACAACGTCACGGCATCGGGCAGGCAAGACCGATTCTTATTGCGAGATACTACCCCTATGAGGGCAAGAAGGAAAGGAGCCGAATCAAGCGTGCCACTCGGCTCAATCTGGCCGCAATCGTAGACAGACTGTAGTCGTATGTCAACGGTTTTTTTTTTTTTTTTTTTTTTTTTTTTCGTTTTTGGGGGGGAGGGGTTTCTCCTCCTCGAATAAACCAACATCCAACACTGCCTGCCTGCAAGGCTGCGTCCAATTTCCTATCTGATCGACTTTCCGTCCCCTCATCGTCGAGGGGAGCGCCCGTTGCCAGACGAACGCAGTCACACCACCCGTCCGACATTTCATGCTTGGTTTTCGATTGGATAGCATTGAACCATTCCACCAAGCGTCCTGCGTTCTAGCGCAAAGTCGACAGCTTTCCTGAGTTCCCCATGGATAACGCCGACTTCTCCCTTAATACTGGGCCGATGCTAGTCGAGACGGAGGCCATGGGCTAATGAAATCTACGCCTCTGCCGTTTCCCGACGTGTTTGGTTTCTCAAGACACTTCTCCAGAGCCCACATTGCCGTACCTCGGGGACCAGCACCACTCCTCACACACCTGCCGTCACAGTCTGGGCGGGCCTTCCGGCGGTTGATGGGCGATTCAATACCTCTCACACAGACAATGTACTAGGTATCCGTATCTTGCCGCCGGTTGCCGTCGAGACTCGACGGTGCTGGCCACCCCACTCTGAGTTGTTCGCGCCGCTTGGTGCCCGCCCAATCACCCGCTACGCTTGCCTCTCTTCTCTCCTTCGGTTTGAGACCAGTGACCTGTCAGCCAGTCACGGTCAACAAGGCCCGCGGTACAGACACACACCACTAACCTGCCAGGATCCAGGAACACGACCGAGATCTCCTCCTCCCACCGTGCCACCACCATCCACACGCAGCAAAGGCTGTGCTAAATCGAGACGGGTCGTTGGGGACCGAGTGGGACGACGCCGGTCCACTGTTCTCTGCAGCGCTACCTACCCTGAGGGTCCAACGAGGGGGCCATCGGAGGTCTTGTCCGGGCCCTGCTTCCAGCCTTCCCCTGGCTTTCTGGTCTCGCGGCATTCTCGTCCAACCTGGTTGGTAGGGACGGGACTGGAATATGTTGGGGTTGGCAGTGAGGACCATCAGTGAGCCCTCTACATTAAGAAGCCAACCTGGACGTGGCCCGACCCTGCCGACCCCGGGTCACCATCTTGACAACACTACACTACACTACCGGTATTCTGCGTATGCATCGCTCCAGCAGCGTGACCAATAAGCTCTCGTATCCGATATTACTCGCTCTGCTCCTTTTTGGGAGCACTCTACCAAGTGCATTGTGTATCTCTCGGGGAGGTTGAGCTTATTGTGAGCTCACTGGTCTCATCTAGCCCTGCCTTGCTTGGTGTGGTATCCAATACAAGACGAAGTGGCGTCATGCAACTCGTCTGTCTATCTATCCCGAACGAGGACAGAGAGCATCACTAACTTTTCCGACACTCGTGGGCCTTACGTAATCTACACCGGAAACTACACTAGCAGACGATGAAGCTGTCCCCAGCTGCCGCCCGCGGCCCAGACCCTTCCACCCCTCCGCAATGATCTTAACGTGTCACGGTCTGCCATTTGCCGGCTAAGGTACGTTTCCTACCAAGTTACCAGGCGCTCAAGGACAAGCTATGCCCCGCACTTTGCCCATTGGATAACCTGGTGCAAGTGCGGCTCAGTGGTACTGGATCGGTCTCACGAATGAAAGAAAAGCGCGTCCTCGACGAGTGCGAGGCTCAGACAAACTGCCCTTCCCTCTCTCTCCTCTCTGTGCGCATGTGTCGCCGCATTGGACCCGATTTCGACCGTGCTCAGCAATCTTGCCTCACCTCATGTCTGAAGGACTGGGGCCGACGCCAGCCAAGACGCCGTTTCCATGTTGCTTTCAACCGTCCACACGTGACGACGCCCATCTGTCTACGTCTTCCCTTGATGTATCCGTACACCGGACCTTGTCTAAGCTTTTTCTTCGCCCTAGATCACTTGACACGAGCTGGACACCTGTCGACAGTGTGGTTCCAGGGCTGTCCCGGTTGTTGTTGAGGATACTGCCAACCACCCAAGCAACATGCCTCTTGCGTTTTGACGAATCAGTTGCTCACAGTATGCCTCACATCGTTGTATCCTCCGTCTTTGGGTCCCTCAAGGCACCTGTGGAGCTCGACGCACTCCGGAGTGACTGGGAACCATCGAACCGCCTCGCTAACTTGACTGGTCTGCAAGCAGACATTGATACATGATGCGATATCAGATACCTGGATGACGAAGCATCTACTCTAACCAGCGGAGCTCACTTTCCAATCATCTTTCACTGTCTTGCATTGGTCGTCTCTGAGACAGCGTCGTCTGTACACTGGCTTCCTCGCTCCGTTTTACTTCTGGCCACGATGGTGACCGTCTCTCTCTAACCACCGTTTCCAGTGGGAAGGTTCTCTGGGCGCCCTGGACTGGGGAGACGAGTCGTCTGTCCGGGAAATGTCGCCTGCTAAGCTCGTGTTAATGGCGCCGCAGATCCCATAACCTCCAACTTTCAAGCACCAACATAATAATTGCCAGCCAGACCTTACCACCGGCGCCCGGCCTCTGTCACCGTCGGGACACCAAACAATGCAGCAACATGGGCGCCCGTCTGCCAGTGCCAGTCTCACTGTCTCAGTCATCCCGCGCTGGGACAGCCGCTGCACCACTGAAGCTTCCCGCGACTGCGCCTCAATCTCCCGCCAAGTATGGCATACCGGTGCTGGGATCAGGCCGGCGGTCCGGCAGCGACTCGCACGCCCAATCCTTCCTCATGCTGTTCCATCTGCCCTGCGCTGATGTTTGGAACTCGCAAGTGGCATAAACAATTCTCGTGACGAGGCCCATGCCATATCGACCCCCGACGTATCAGAGCACTCTCATCTTAGCGCCCACTCTCCAAACCGGCCATTGGCAGCCGCGTCTCTCTCGCTCCTTTTACGTCTACGAATATTAAGAGCCGCCTACAAGGGCGGCAGAGTCGGGACCTCCTCCACTACGGTGGCATGACGACATTTTGGCTGTCGGTGGCCCGTATCAATCAGTCATCCGTCCCACGTCGTATGGGAATCGAGAGCTCGGAAGTTGGAGCCGGCACCCCTGATCCTCACCAACGACAACCTTTCAGCCTCACGCCAATCACCATGTCAGAAATGACATCACACTCTTTCCCCTCGGCCTTTCTCGACCATTGGATTCGCTCTCTCAAATCGAGACGCGGTGATCAGCTTAACGACTTTCCAAACTACCACGTTTTCCATCCTGAGAGTCTGGTGACAACATGTAGTCCCAAGTCACTCACCGTCGGCAACGGCGCCAGCATCTACAGAGACACACTCCTCCCGGCCATATTGCTTGCGAAACGCGAGGTGATATTGGTGACGTGCTTCTGGGCTCCGTCCGATACCTTGTGTGCCATCAAAGAAACCCTGGAGCTCCTTGCCGACCGACGCAGAGAGACGATTCAAACGTCCGGCGAGGATGCCGTCGCCCCATTACGCGTTCGCATCTGCTTTTCGTCGCGTAGCTTCTTCCAAAAGATATTCCATCCGTGGTCGCGAGACGGTTACGCGTACCCAACCTCAGCGTGGCCAAAGCTCGGATTGCCCCCGGACACCACCCTCAAGGCGGCCCGCATCGAACTCATCGTCAAGAGCCTATTCTTCCTGCCTTTCAGCGTCATGCATCCAAAGTTTATCATCGTCGACCGCAAGCGCGCTTGGATGCCCAGCTGCAACGTGAGCTGGGAGACGTGGTTTGAAGGCTGTATTGGGTTCGAGGGTGCAGCCGTTGCTCAACTGGTGAAATTCTACGCCAACGTCTGGGAGCATGGCGCCGGCGCGCAACAGTTCCCCGGCGACAATGTTGACGGCGGTGGTGAGGCGAACCAGGGGCCAGGCCAAGTCGACGAAAACACTGGCCGAACTGTTCCTCCCAGTCCACCTTCGGACGATGAGACCGCGTATCGGCGGCTGAGCCTCGCAAGTCTGCCACCGTGTCCGACAATGATCTTACCCTCATCTCATCACTGGTACCCCGGCTTCCGCCACATTCCTGTCTGGCGGCGCATCACGGCGCCCACGACTCCTCTCAATGCGGCTCTGTTGTCTTTGTTTGCCTGTGCTCGGACCGACATTGATGTCGTGACGCCGAACCTGACTTGTAGAACAGTAGTCGATGCTCTCCTGGAGGCTCTTTGCCGCGGCGTCAGCGTCCGCATCAGGACGAGCAAGAATATGATGTTAATCGAGCAACTCGTTACGGCTTGCACCACGACGGAATGGACACTTGATTCGCTCGTCAAGCGATACAGCCAAGCCTGCACAGAGTGGGACAGGAAACGATCGGTAGATGCCGAGTCCCAGGCGCAACGGCCTGGCCGCCTCACCATCTACTACTACCGGCCGAACCTGCAGGCGACGGCGGTGCGGGACCCAGAGGAGCCGGTCGTGTCGCATCTGAAGATGACGCTCGTCGACAGGGAGTATCTCTTGCTGGGCTCCGGCAACTTGGACCGGGCCAGTTGGTACACGAGTCAAGAGCTGGGCATCCTGCTACATATACCCGATTTCCAATGTGACGTCTGGTCTGAATCTCTCGAGTCCAGGATTGAGGTCCGATTCAGCGGGGAGCCCGGCGATGGGACGATGGGCTAGTCAGTCGCGCGTGTGCATATAAGTGTGTGCTTCGATTCTGCCTCGTCTTTAGATCTCTAGATACCCACGTCTTGTAATATTTACTGATTCATGACCACCGGCGCTAAGCGTACCCTTCGTCTTGCTCCCTCAGTTACCGGAAGACACCGTCGTAGAGACCGTTTTCGGCATCAATTCGTTCTCGAGGCGAGCCGTCCAAAGAATTGCTCTGAGAATCTGGTCCATGAACCACTCATCGTCATAGGCGTCATCATAGTGGCCCAGCGCCGTGTAGAACGATCTCCCACCGTCAAACTCCTGGTACCAGGCGAGTGGGTGATCATCCCCCATGGCGCCGCCCTCGAAGCTCGTCGGGTCGCCCCGAACCAGGATGTGGAGGTTGTCATTCTCCCTAGGATGCGACAGGAAATTGTACCACTCATCCGTCCAGCCTTTCCGAGCATCATCGCCCGCCTGCGCCATATGTTTTCCGCCTCCACGTCTCAATATGAAATGCTCCGGGTCCTCGATGATACAAGCGCCCGCCTGGGGCGGCGGATGCTGGTCAAAGTGCGCACCGATAAGCTTGCCATACCATTCATCCTCCTTCAACCCTGATGCGGCGGCATGCACGCCCACGAAACCGCCACCAGCGTTAGCGTAACCCTTCAGAGCCGCCAATTGTTTAGCATTGAGAAAGTGTCCCGTACAGTGAAGGAAGACGACTGTGGTGTAGCTTTCCAAGGAGCGAGCGTTGATGGAGGCCTCGGCGTCTTCGCTGGCGTCGACGGTGAAAAGTCCTGAGGTCGCGCCGAGGGATTTCACGGCGGAGACGGCACTTGAGATACAGTCGTGTCGATAGCCCGAGGTCTTGCTGAAGACGAGAACACGGAATGGCGCCCTCGTCGGTTCAGAATTGGGCGTCATGTTGATGGGATGATTGGTATTGTTGGAGGAAGATCGTGATGTTGGATAGTTTGGCGGGGGTAAGTGGAGCTCTGCGGACAGGTCTTAGTCACTATCTTTTTCCAAAATTCTCAATCACCGGCTGTGTGTTCTAGTGGTCATGATTTCTCGTTCACATTATGTGCACCAGATCCCGAGAAGGTCGCAGGTTCGAGCCCTGCCGCGGTCATAGCAATTGTTTCTTTTGCTTTTTGCGATATATAGACATGCACTCACCTGCGTTGCACTTCTTTCTGGCCTGGTGTCGCCAAGATCCTGTGGTGGTTGCTCGCGCTGCTTGTAGCTGCTTCGGCTGAGTATGATCCGACTGTTCAAGTATCCTGACATGAGCGATGAGCCTGCACGCAGGCATTTTGACATGATTACTCCAAGCCATTCATTGTAATTCCATCTATACCTCACGTCGTGCACGTATTTCCGAGCAGCAAGCATGTCTTTCTGACAAATGTCCAGTGGTCTACCCCGAGACTTTTTCCGTCGCCGGATGGAGGTCACGATTTTGCTTCCTCGTGATTTTACCCTGCCAACCTCCCCTTTCCCGCCACCCTTTGTATATCTCGAAAGCCTGCTAACACAGTACAGTTATTCGATTTGCCAACGCCAATTCCGGACGCGGCGAGCAGGTTCATGTTGAAATGACTGGTCGGGCGTCGGGTAAAACGAACAGTCCACCCCCTCATTACAAGAGCCAAACTTGAGCACGAAGCTGTGGATCTTGCCGAGCCAGGCGTCCGTAAAGTGACGGGAGTTGGCGAAGTGGTCGCTGGTACCCGAAGTTGGGTATAGGTACGAACTCTGCTCAACCTCGTAGGGACGATCGACGACGGCGTCCATGACGTGGCCCAACCGCGCGGCGGCAAACATCTCTTCAGGCCAGTCGCTGTTGGGAATATACTCGCCGTAGACGCCCTCGTCCGATAACGTTTCCTACACGGATCAGCGGTCGGCGTCCTACGACTTTTTCAAGAAGTCCATGTTCAGCTTGCGCAGCTGGTTCCTATCGCTGCCCTAGTCATAAAGGATCTCGCGAATGCAGCTGTGGGTGTCGAGGACCCATTGCACTCTCTCGTACTCGTCCACCACCCATTTAATGCTCTTCGTTCCTGGTTCAGAGAAAGCGTTAGCATCGTGGTAAGTCGCGTCAGCAGAGTTTACGAAGGCAACGTTAGGGGCGACGGTGGTGGCGAAATCCTCAGGGAAGTCAAAGAGGAAGTTGGTATTGAGGTTCAAACCGATGCCAATGGCCTCTGGGTCGCCCCCTGAAGCGGCCGGGTTGCGGTTCTTCCACCAGCAGGTATGTATGGCCTGGTCGTACGCCACTCGGTCGGAGTTGCTCAACCACGCGAAGACGATGCCAGTCGCCACGGCGTGCTTCACGTCGCGGTTGGAGATGAAGTAGGTAATGTCGTTCGAGGAGCCGCTCTCGCGGGCGTGGATGGCGGCGTTAAAGCACACGTGGTGCGGATCGCTGCAGTTCCCCCTTTCGCCGCTGATCTTTGCGTTGAAGAAGGAGGCGTTTTGGTACGTCTTGTACTGCAACTCAAAGTAACCAATGTCATAATCCTGGACGACATCATTGACGGCACTCTTGATCTCATTCACATTGAGGAGGGAGGGGAGTTTCGTGCCGGCGGGCCGGGATCCGAGGCCCCGGAGAACTTCTTGCCGCTGTCGATGCGGTCGCCCGTCCCGATGGCAGCACCCGTGTTGTTGTGACTCGTAGTTCAGCGGCAGGGTGATGCGGGCCCCGGAGGCTTCTCCGGGCAGCAGACAGGCCTCGCCCAGGAGGGTAAGCGAGAGGAGAACGCAAGCTTGCGTGGTCTTCATTGTGGTGTTATTGGGAGCGGGCAAGCTAGTTTTGGGCAGGGGAGAGCTGTCGATAGGAAGGAAACTTTAGGAGGAGGAAAACGCAGCCGTAGGTCTGGCGAGAGTGATTGGCAAGAACGTGATATACAATTGAGCGACCATTACATTTGCTCTTCTCCGCCCAATGTCATACTCTAAGCACGGGGCCGCTGCACGATGATGACCGCGAAGATGTTGATCACCGAAGGCCTGGATTTAAACCTGGCAACCCCGTTTACCTTGTTATCTGGAGGCTTAGTGCTGCTTCATGATGTTCTTCCCCGCCGGGTCCCTACGTCGACTTTGTGCTCATAGTTCTTACGAGGGTCTTGGCTCGATAGGCTGATGGATGAAATCAACGAGGCTTGGCAATTTGAGGACCGTCATTATAGATTAATCATGTGTAAAAACAAAGCCGATTGAGAAGCTCTTGGCGATATTGGAGCAGTTGGCAAGGAAATCTTGGTTATTATAGTATGTGTAGTATATTGAGTCCCTTCCAGTAGTAAGGGTGGGCGCCAGCAAGGCCAAGAAAACAGAGCGGGACATCGTTACAGAAGTGTGATTTTCAACCTAAAGCCACAGATCCGATTGCTTGGCCTTCGAAATATTGCTGGATCAAATGCAATGATCTAGAGGGAAAAGGTACCCGGATGTTTTTGAACCAGCTACGCTCAATAACATTCGTTTCGGTTTGGCGTTCAGGGCCAGTACCGTCCATAGAGGTCATCCGAACCACGACTGTATGTATTTTCATCCCGACCCGAAGTGTGCATGGACCGTTCGCTATAATGGTTCATTCAGTGAGACTCGTCTCGCTTGGCTACTGCGTCGGTCATGGCCAAACTTTTCTCAAGCTTCGACTTCAATATTTCCACCAAAGTTCTGGAGTTCTGTATTGGGCAGAGAGAGATATGAATTCGCTCTCTACAACGGGATTGCTCCTGACGGGACGCTGCGAGGTTGGGCAGTAGCAACGGCTTCCTCCTCTATGGCATCCGGCATCACGAAAGCTTTGCTAAGGCGTCGGAAGTCAATGACCATGCCCCAAGTTCGGAGGTTTCCGCACTTGGCTGAAATGGTTCCCCAAACAATCATGCTACCGGCACTTACAACAGACGAAGGTAGACAATGAGCAGAATCCGGAGAACATCGAAGCCAAAGCCTGAGATGACAGCGACCAAAACGACACCGCCCTAGCACTTAGACTCACAGACAAGAACACCGCCATCATGGAGACCAAGGTATCGCAGCATGAAGTTGAGAAGCTCATGCTTGAATGCCCTAATACCGCCAAGATTCGCCATTGGCTCATTTAGTTCGAAGTGACGCCAGTACATGTTCTCGTAAGGTACATGATGCCAACATGATGCAACTCATATCTTGAAAGTCGTGATAAGGATAGCCATTCGTTGGAGTTGTTCAAGGAAATGTCTGGATGTATGTATGTAGACTACGTTGCTGCTCATCTAGTATGAGACGCCGTTGAGAGCCTTTAATTCCATCGAATATGACTGCATTCGGAATAGCCCCACCGTCGTTAGGAAACAAGGTCGGTTTAGAGCGGGGCAGTTGCGAATGCTCGTACATCAGGACACCAGAAATACGCTGTGTCATCTGAACTTGTATTGGACGTATTGCAACAATATCTTGCCGGGCTTAACAAGTTCAAACGTTGATAACGCAGCGTATTCATGTCTTTACGAGAGTCTGACTTCCCGAGCCTCCGAGTTACTGAAATCTGGAGTCTTTGCCACGTAAGCTCAAGCGCAGCCGAGCAGTGCAATCTGCATTCGCGACATATCAGTGTTCGTTGCGACGAAACCTATTATGTGCTGTGTTGAATCAAAGACAATTTCCCGTTGTGTCAGCGGCTCGTAGAGACTAACTTGAGAACGGTACAAGGCCTCCAAGCTCATTAGTGCCGGTCAATTGGCCCTCGTAGAGACGCCGGACCGCGATCGCAGACACAAGAAATATCGTTCACGCAATAGGTATTCAAAGCGTTACCTGAGGTACTGGTCAATGAGTTGAGTCACTTTCGGCAACGTTATGAGTGATGTTCCGGTACCATAGGCGAAGGGTCCCCGCATTCACGACAGTAGATAGCAACCGGTTCCCCAATAATTGTCCATCGGTTCACCTCAACGCAGTGCCGCCGAGTCTTAATTTGCAAGAGGGGAAAGCCAATATGACGTTGGGATTCTGCTGCCTGCAAATCATTGGTTTTGGGAATTATGACTTGAAATCCTCGAAACACACCTTCAATTGAGTGTCAATCGAAGTGAACTGTATCTTCACCAATCCTGAAGTGCGTGAATTTTAACAAGAAATGTAACAGAGCAGTAGATCTGTGATCAAAGCAATTTGAGGGGAAAATGATAATCTTTTAGTGAACGTACTCTCTCTAAGCTGCTGTTCCATATGATTATGGACTTGAACCATCATCTGACATACCGGCCTTGCCTACTTACAATCTGGAAACTCGTTCGACACGTGATGAGCACTATATGGGAGAGACAGACGGATGGCTATGGTGTGTCTTGAGCAAAATCTGCTGCGTACTCTCTCTCGCGCCAGGTACGTGGTACAGCTACTGTCTAGGCGATTCAACACCAAGAAACATGTTCAGCGAAGTGAGCAACGCGATGGTCAACGTCTACGTTGGTTACATACTGGCTTTGGGTTTGCTAAAGAGATTGAGATTGAACATTCTTCTTGGATAGCTTCTTGGGATTTGCAGTTGGCACCGTACAGCGAGCTGTCACTTTCCACCGCTAGGTCGGGCCCTGGCAGAGACGCGTACTCTGCTTCTGCTCTCGGGAAGCTATCATGTAATCTGTATTTGCAGTTGTTTGAAAGTCATAAAACATCACTGCGAATCAAACTTGGCCTTTGAAAGCCAGAGTTGAGTGTCCCGCCTACTTTCCATCTTTGTAGCAATCCCATGAGATGATGTAACATTTGGTTTCTCCTTAATGAGTGCTTCATCACGCGTCAATCAAGGCTCCCTTACATGCAGACGACGAAGGGTATGGTTGGTCCCGGGAAGAGGTGCTGGAGAAAACCTCAGACCGCCATCAGGTAACGGAGGTCTACACGAGTGTTCGCAACTAGAGACAAGACTCAACGCCATGAAAAACCAAGCCAGCGTGGATGTATGCCGTTATGTCACAAGTCCTAAGATTGCTTGGGTCTATCCCGGAGCACGCGGCTGCTCATACTAGACGGTCTTCGAGCGGCTTGTGGAATTTGCGCTCGAATGTGCTGGAACCGAATTCGCTAGAGGTCAATTTTCAAGTTGAGCAGTCGTACCAGGGTGACTGTATCGGTTGCAGGCGATTGAATAGCTCTGGGCCTTTGTTTTGCTGTCTCTCCTCTGGCTGCCAATGTTGGTCGTAGTGTCCGACGGTTTCAAGTACCAGTTGTAGCAATGCCGTTCAGCAACCCTATATGATCCGATAGCCCCCTTGTTGTCTTATCAAATGTATGAAAGCTGGTTGAGGCGAAATTACTTTGGCGATTCAGGACGCATCAAGGTTGGTGAGGTGGTCGGTGGTCCTTGCGTAGGTGCCAGTGCGAGCATTCGCTTCTTTCCGGTCCCGATGATGATTCCATGGTGATCGTGTAGATGATTCGCGTGGAATGCGAGCAAAATGTGTTGCGGTGCTCTTCGAAGGCTTCGACATTGGTGCGCGAACGCGATTGTCAGTTATAGAAAAGGGCTGGAAGACGGGATATATATAAGTGTGGATTATTGCGCCCGCAACCACGTGAATAACAGCGAGTGCCCGTCCATCCGACGAACAGACTATTTGCTCGGGGGCGCTTGGGCGCCATCCAAGGTCCAAATGGGTGAGGGAGCGCCCGCAAGGACGCAAGTCAGCGGGACAGACCCAGGCGGACGGGACGGTAGGAGCAGGAACAAAGTTGATCTACCAACTCTAAAGCTGCCGTGCGGCCGCTGTGTGACGAACGACAACCTTTTCAGAGGACGAATCTTGATTAAGACTAGGGAGGAAGTTGAGACATGTCTAAATGAAGTTCAATGCCATGATATGCTCTGTTGGATGATCAATGACTAGGTACCTCCACTCGTCCAGGTACGGGTCTGGATGAATCTCGCCGCGCGATGAGTGCGATGAAAATGGGAGTGAGTGCTCATCGGTGATGAGTAAGGAAGTCATTGTGATTACGAACGAGGGGCTGCGAGTATGACCAAGTACGAAGAGCCTTATCCCGAGGGGTTCGCAACTTCGCACACTTCATTATCTTACGGGAGACGGCGATAATGGGAGAGACCAGAGAACAGAGACGGTATTAGCCGGCATTCCTTGGCAACTGCAATTCGAGCTAGTTTGGCTAGTCTCATGCGGCATGATTTAGGACACGAATGGGGACTTCGGATATGAGTGGTTAGGGGTACCATCTTATGAGTGCTGCAGGAATCAGGAATGGATGGCGCTGGTTGCTGATAAGCCTGCAAGTCAGCGGACCAATCTTGGGCAGCTCCGTATGAGATGTCCGTGGGCAAGTGAGATGCCGCAAAGTTGACGCGATGTTGGAGCGACCGATGATGTAAATTGTAAGGTAACTATATTGTACAGAAGCGAGAAGATTGGAAACGATGTGAAATGAAAATGATTGGGATGAAGACACTAGTGCCGAACTAACAGTTCACTGATGTGACGAGACTCAGGAGAGAGAGGTGGCATGTGGCATTCCATGATGAATTGAATTGAACGGCGTGGTCGTCGTCAATCAGCTGTCCCCTGTTTCAGTCTTGGTTGGGGAGCCGAAAGGGAAAGAGGGTCGGGGGCACCCCTGCAGGGACAGACAAGGGCAGGGACCATCCCACTGGAGCCTGCCTTGCCTTATCATTGCCAAGATGACGCTAGCAATCCCAGCCCCACCGTTCCGAGAGATAAGAAGGGCCGGCCAATCAAGGTTCCCGCCATTGGAAGCTCGACTTGGCTTGCAGC